GCAATTTTTCATGGCCAGAATTCTTAACTCTAATACCACATTTGGAATTAGGATGTATGCTAGACTTTATAAAAATAACAGCAAATTTTCTTTTTAGATAATAAAAAGATGTATCACTTTCCTCTTCCCCACATGAAGAAATAGAGCAGCATTTATTTCTCAGTTAAAATGAGTTTGTAAATGTTAAGTTCAATCATACTTACATTATACTCCTTTTATTTAATGCTGAAGCCATCATCTCTTGAGGCAGTGCCTTGTTTCAGGTAACAAAGCAGAAATAGCCTTGTTCTCCTATGATTTGCCTAAGTTTTTTAATCTTTCTATTTCTTTTTTGTTTTGTTTTGTTTGTTTTTAGAGGCAGTTGGGGTTAAGTGACTTGCTCAGGGTCACATAGGTAGTAAGTGTCAAGTGTCTGAGGCTGATTTGAACTCAGATCCTCTAATTCCAGGGCCGGTGTTCTGTCCACTGTGCCACCCACTTGCCGCCTCTCTAAGCACTTCAAATTATTGGGTGATAGGGCTGTATTTGTTGCTAGAAGTGGTACAGATAGTTGACATGATATTTTAGTATCTAAAAACATAGAAAGCTTATTTTTTCCCCAAGTGGAACAGCACTTCATGGCAAACCGCAGCAAATGTGTTATGTATCCACCCAGTCTCTTTGATGGGCAATTGTGTAACAGAGTGACATTTCCAGTGCCACACACACTGATACGTGAAGGCATTTTAGCATCTGGCTTAAAAAAAAACACATGCAGTAAAATGTGACCATATTTGTGTTTCCTCTGCCTTCCTTTGAATTAATCATCTGCACACGGTAGACCAAGTTCCGTTGTTATCTCCAGGGTAGACCTTATTGTAAAGAGTTTGTATTTTAATTATTCCATCTTAGTGCAGTTTTAGGCTTTAATAACTTCAGAAGTAGAAACACTACAAACTTAAGGGAAAATATAATTTGAAAATGTAATTATTTGGCCTTTCTTTTCTGGGTGACACTGTCTCAGACCAGTAGAGGATCAGTAGAGGATATCCTCTTGGCTGGCCACCTTGGGTACCTGATCCATCCCATTAAACTCTTTCTTGGGGGGGTTGCATCAAAACTGCTCTGTATGCATCAAAACCTGCTTCTTTGGATGGTCTTAAGGCTAATATTACAAATGCAATCCATTTCATCACTGAGTAGAAGCTAAGGAAAATTTTTATGAAAATTAGAAAATCTACTCGATAGCACAAGAATATGTTTATGAAATTAGAAAATCTACACATGTAGATAGCACAAGATGGTGGTTATGTTGAATTTTGGTAAGAAGTATACCAATATTTACATCATTAAAATTTCACACTTTTTGGTAAGTTTGTAGCATTTATACTTCTGAAGTTATTAAAGTTTATTAAGACTTTTGGGATACCCTGTGTATGCAGAGTGTCATGGGAAATATAAAGAGACCTGAGATGTAGTTCTTGCCTTCAAGGACCTGACAGTCTAGCATAAGAAATAAGACACGTACATAGAAGTGATTCAGAGCAAAATAAAGTAAGTGAATGAGACAAAACATTATGGGAACTCAGAGGAGGAAAATGTTTCATGACTGGTCATATGAAGGAAGGCAAGGTGGTAGTATGTGAGTCAGACCTTGAAGGAGAAGTAGGAATGTGACTGATGTTAGCAGAGGAAAATATATCACAGCTGGAAGGACCAGCATAAACAAAGGATCTGATGAGATCATTCATGTAAAACATTCTGCAAAACGGCTCCATAAATGTGAGTTTTTGTTATGTTGTCCTTTTTTACCAAAGATGGGTGTACTTGAAGGGAAGTATTGAACTATAGGTTTGGAAATCTAAAATGGGATGAAATGATGGGGAACCTTGAATACCAGCCTAAGCAGTTTGACTTTATTTTGTAGATAGTGGGGAGATAATAACATAATTTTAAAATAGTTTTGAATTCATAAGATTAATATGGCTGGGATATGTAGGATTGATTGAAAGGGGAAGAGAGTTGAGGTAGGGAGACCAGTTTGAAATCTCTTAGCGTACTTATGGAATTCTGTTGTATATAGTTGGAATAGAAATACTGTGTGATAAGAAATAGCCAGCTTAATGGAAATCTTTTGGTTTCTGAGCGAGTAGGGCAGTTTGGAATGCTTGACAGACATTTTAAAATACCAAAACTCTGCTATTCTTGTTCATTTAAGCAGCCCAGTAAAAATATCTCGATCATCTGTTTTGTTTAGAACCTTATTTCTGAAAAGTCCATTTTGGGCCTGAAGTACCTCTTCCTTTGAGTTTGTCTCAGGGGTCAAAACTACTTTCATGATAATACTAAGATTATTTGCCTTTTTAAATTACTTGTCCCTTTTCAGTTGCATATCTGTGCGAGGCTAGATTTTCTTGATATACTCCAACCAAAACAACATATTAGCAAAAGGTTGAATATAGAAGCAGATATGAGAATACAGCTGTTTTCTGTTAAGCCAGATGTTAAAGATATATAAAACAGTGTCACTTCTCTCACTAAATTTTTTTTTGTTTTGAAAGGTATGGTTATTTGTCATAAAATGTTATTTAACATGTCATGGGTTTATTATCATTATTTTTCAATGAATTGCTAAATATTTAATCTTTTATCAGTTTTAATTTTTAATACAATTTAAATTTCTAACATAATATATTTTTCATTAGCTGTAACCTATGTAAACAAAAATTCTTTGAGGTCTTCAATAATTTTTAAATGTATAAAAGTGTCCTGAGACCAGAATGTTTTAGAAGGGCTGGTCCAGAGATTGAAAAATAAGTTAGTACTGAGAATACAGACTTTGCTATCCTTTATGGGGAGGAGTAATTGAAACTATGGGGGTAAATTTATAATGCAAAGGTAGAAAGTTTGAGAAGAGAAGAGGGCCAAAGATGTAATTTTTGAGTAATGTTCTCCTTGAGTGGTTTGGAAGAAGATAATCCTGCAAAATACAACCGAAGGAGTGGTTGGAGATTTTGAAGAACAAGGGCAGTGGGGTGCCTCAGAAACCAAGGCTGGAGACAGGTCAGTGGTTTTAGGTACTGCCGACAAATCAAGTGGAATAATGATTGAAAATGGCCCATTTTATCTGACAGGAGAACACTGGTGACCTTTGAGAAGGCAGTTTGTGTAGAGCAGTAGAGAAAAAGGCAAACTGCAAGGGGTTAGAGAGTGAATGAGAGGGTAATGAAAAGGCATCTGATACAGGTAACTTTTTTCAAGAAGTTCAACAGTGAAAGACAGGAGAGAATAGAGTTCAAAGGACAAAAGAAGAATTTAAAATTTATTTTCAGAATTGAGAGGTACTATTTGTAGGCATATGATGGAAGGTAGTGGACTGGCTAGATTGCCCAAGTAAATCATTCCCTCTTTCACACCTCTTCAAAATTCTGGAGCTGACCGAAAGAGAAAGGCTTAAGGTATAGGAAGATTAGCCTTCATGAGTATATGAAAATTCTTCCTCTGTGCCTGGAGAAATGGAAGAGTAGAAGGATGAAGCTGCTGAGAAGTTTTGCAGAAACAAGTGAGCTGAGGGGGCTCCCATTGATGGCCTCTATTTTGTTAGTGTAGGAAGAGGTCTTGAGGAAAGAAAAGGGCTGGGAACAGTCTCTGTGGAGAATGAGCTCAGAAAGAATAGTCTATGAGAGCGCAATGATTACTAAGCAGTTGAATCTATAGTGGAATAACTCAAAAGTAGAACTTTGAAAATGCTGATGGGGGATGATGTTGTTTTGTTTTTTATACCACAATCATTTATCTACATATTTCCCTGATTCACCATCCCTAGTGTACCCTCTTACAGTGAAGATTTCAATTTCATGACTTTGTTCAGAAGCCTTCGAGTAAGGAGCATGGAATTCTGAAGATGGCAGTTACCCAAGGATAAGGATTAATATGGGGAAAAGTCAGAAACAACAATGTTAAAGATGAAATATGTTTGTTTTTAAACAAAAATCACCTGTTTGATCCAGGTGTGCATGAAGAAATTTAAAATATTGGGTTTTTCCACTTATTCATTCATCACCTTGCTCTTTCTTTTTAATCCACATATTTAAAAAGAAAGATAAGCTTTCCCGTTGTTCAATTCTTCAGCTCTCCATTTGAAACAAATACTGCAGAGGGCTAACAACATTCGGCAACAGCTTCAGAAACCCCTGTTTTTAGCTGGATAAGCATGTCAGTGGTGCTTAGGGGATATTCACCGCTTGAGTAGTATGACTTTTTAAAACCGGATCAGCAGACGTATTTCTTCAATTGTTCATCCTTAATCTGGAAAATTTGTCTAGTTGCTAATATTGAGGCATGATTCCCAGGTCTCTCTGACATACACAGCATTTCTTGAGAAGCTAAGCATTGACCTTGATACTGCAAATTAGGAATACTGGCAGTAAAATGTGCTGGACATCAGCAACAGGCTTTCCACATTTTAAGGATCTAGTGTTTTATCTGTGTGTATACTGTGATGCATTCCAGGCCTTTGTATGGGCTTTCATGAGAATCTATAGCTCCAAAAGGCATCATTTGACGACCAGCCCTCTTGTGATGATCACCTTCAAACTCAGCAGGGTTGGTCCTGGGGTGACAGTCTGTCCCTGGGCCCATATGTGATGTCTTTTCATCGTGATAGAGGACCTGCCAAGCACTTGTACTCCATTGGCTTAACACCAATAACCCAATGCCCACTGAATGGGTGATAATTAGAGTAGGAATTTAGTGACATTTGAAAAAGGCTTTCCAGGACTTTGTCATTAGCAGTCATACCTCTGTTTCATGGCAGTCTCTTGGAATCATAATATTTTGAATTTTTATTTAGGTTCCTTAAAGCTATTTGTCAAAAAATTTTTTGATGTAAATCAATCTTATAAAATCATTGTTTTTAAAAAAATCATTGGTGGATGATAGGATTTTAAGCAGGCCCTTAAAATGGTTGTCACCATTTAAACTTAATGTTATTTTTGCTTAAATTGTCCTTTCATAACTAGGTAAAAGTGATTTATCCTCAAAATGGCTGGGTTGAAATAGATCCCGAAGTTCTTTGGAGTCACTTTATTGCTGTAATAAAAGAAGCTGTACAAGGTAATTAGACTTACAAAAAAACCAGAAACTTCTAAAGCCCCTTTGGTGGTGGTAATAATAACAGTAATAATAGGTTCCCCCTACGTTTCTATAACAGTGTGTATTTTTCTAAATGGTAAGCACCCAGGTAGAATTAATATGGGACCACCCTACCTCAGGATAACCAGGGAGTTTTACAGGTTGGCTCTTTGGAAAAAGTACCACAACCTAGACCAAATCAAGAAGGAGCTAGAATTTGGTGCTCTTGACTATCACTTACCTCTTCAGTTTTTATTAGCTTCAATCTTTTGCAACTTTTGATAATCAAGCATTGAATGCATACTCTGTAGAAGGTACTGCGGTAAATAGAAAAGTTGAAGAGAGAGTAGTATCCTCAAGCAGCGCTACTCAGGAAACTTTCTAATCTGGTTATCCAGATTGTTCTGGGTCACACTCTGGCTCCAGCCAAAAAGAAAATGTTTTTGGTTAGAAAACAAAAATATTTTTTAGCACTCTTAAATATGTTTTTCATATTACCTCAGAGGCAAAATGTTATGTAGACGGTATTCTGAGCCATGTTTTATAGAGGAGCCTTGGAGCCAGGCCAACCTGGGTTCCATTGTACAGCCTTTGCTACATTCTGCCAGTGTGGCCTATAAGGGACAGGTCAATGAACCTCTGTCTGGGCTCTGGGGCATTCTCTAAGACCAATTTACGAAGAAGGAAATGGCAAACCACTCCAATATCTTTGCCAAGAAAACTCCAAATGAGGTCAGCAAGAGTCGGGCAAGACCAAAAAGATTGAACAACAACAAAGACCAATTTATAGAAAAGATACTTCCCCCCCCCCATCCAGGTACTTCCTTTGCCAATGAGATCACAGGCGGTCTTTATTCCAGTTTTGTAGTAGAGATTTCTGGTTCAATTGTTTTACATATCTTTTCATATGTAAATTTTAGTATTATGGAAAATTTGAATGAGGAAAAATAATTGGTTCTATCTTGGCATCAATTTATGTGAAAAATATATCTCAGCAGAATTTGAAATTTCATCTGTATTCTTAGTACGGGAGGATATCATATTCCTTTCCCCAAAGATTTTGGTTTTATTTTTCTCACACTTCTACTGTGGAAGATTGGTATTCACTTAGACTCAGAAGTGAAATTCTTGCAACTTTTCTCCAGCAGTAAGAAGAAAACATTGTCTAGCTAGTTAGTCTTTGTTCAGTGTCTTTTTCTCATTTTTCAGACCTCATAAACAGGTCATTGTATCTGGTTTTAAAATCTAGCTCTTTTCTGCTTTTTTCAACCCTTTTTATAAGGATCACTATCCAGCTTACTAGAGGAATGCTTAGTTATTTTCAGATTAACTGCTTTAGTAAAAATGTTTCTATCATATGTATTTTTCTTAAAGATCAGACAGTAATATCAGAAAGGAAAATTTCCTCAGCTTTTAAACTGATTTCTATGTATTTTTACTTTTAGCTGCAGGAATACAAATGCATCAGATTGTTGGCCTTGGAATCTCAACACAGAGAGCAACTTTCATTACATGGAACAAGTGAGTACATTGTGTCATAAGCACTATTGTTGTTTGATTCTTGGTTAAAGCTAATATGCTCTGAATGAAACTTTGAAACTACTTGGATGAGCTTTGACCATATGCATAAAATGTGGCATTTCTTGGCTTTGGAAAGAATTGATGTTTTCTCTTTTATTAAAACAGGCTTCCCACATGTATTCTTTAGTTACTTAAAAGTACATTTCAAAAGACAGTGGTTGTAACTTAAACTCTGTCTAACCTGTTCTGATTAACTCTAAACCTGGTTAACCTGAATAAACATGCACCCAGGAAATTGAACTGTTGTTGTCTCCATGATTTTTCTTTTGGTCCAGTGGAAAGAGAACTAGATTTGGCGTCAGAGGGCTCAGGTTTGAATCCCACCTGTGCTACTTGCTGTGGCCTTAGGCAGTTGTTTTTTAATTTTTTTAAAATTGCTCTGAGCCTTAGTTTCTCCATTTTCATAAAATGAGACAGTTGGACTAGATGACCTTTAATGTCCTGGCTCTAAGCCAACGAACCTGTGAAAATGTACGCTAGTCCCCAAAAGTACCAAATTATAGAACCATGGTATTGCTTCTTCAGCTTACCATTTTAAGATCTACTGTCTATAATGTGCTGACTTGGTAGAGAATAAAGGTCAAACCACGTCCTTGTCCTCAGGAAGATTAATTAGATCCATTGCAGCTATACTGCATTGAACATCTTAGGGGCTATTAAAATTATGGGAGACACGTGACCCTGGGGCTCACAGGGGGTGTTTGTAAGATTAGTGAGGCTAAGGTAAGTACATGAAGAGGTCCTATATGTACCCTCAAAATAAAACACTACCTAGTCAGATAAAAGACTTTTTCTTCTTCATTTTAACTGTGTTAGCCGCCGTCACTGAGGCAGTACAATGGTGGTGTGCCTAGAGAGCCATCCTGTCCTACCTTGGACAATACTGGCTGAGATCCTGGGCCGGTTATTTAACCTCTTCATTGGCTTCTCTCTAAAACTCTTAAATTGTGGAGTTGCTATAGTTTTGCACTGAAAGGGGCAGTTCTTTGTACCTTGAAAATCCTAGATCTTATCCACACAAGCAACAAAGCTACCATGATAGGTATTCTCTTACCCTCTACTCATCAGAAGAGTTGTGTGGGGGCTGGGGCTTGGGACAACCTCTGAATCATCTCGGTAGGACTACATCATTTATCTTCAGTCAACATTCAGCTTCAGTGAACTTTTAGATCTTAAGAAACTTATTCCTAGGATTGGAGGGATACAATAGGTTAATAATTCAAGATAAATTTTGCAAACTAAAGGTTGTGTATACTTGATTTTGCTATTACTGGTTAAAAGGAGAGTCACATTTTTAGAAAAACTAAGATTGTATCATATAAGGCACCATACTGCACAGAAAAAAAAGGTGAGATTCCTCTCTGCCTCTACTAGTTTTTGATTGGCATGTGGTTAGTTATAAATACTGATTACCAAAACAGTTGATAATGTTATAATAGCTTACAATTGCCTAATGCTTTCAGGTTTATAAAGCCCTTGCCGCCCTGTGATCCTGTGGGTAGGTAACACAAAAGTGGGTATGGACATTACAGACCCAGAAAGGTTGAGGAACTCCTCCAGTCCCGTAACTAAGAACCATTGGATCTGGGATTTGACTTTGGGTCCCTCCTGTGGATTGGCTGCATGACTTTCATTATACTAGCTGCCTTTCTGGTGTTGTCTTTTCACTTGCTTTTTTTTTTTTTTTTTTAAATATCTCTGTGCTCTTCTCTTAAGATTCTGTTGCCACTTTTTTGTTTTCAAAACTAAAATATTTGCCTTGCCTTTCAGTCTTAGAACATGTAAAGCAGCATTTCCCAAACTCGACTATTGAACCCTGAGACTTTGTTATCCTAACAGTTTTTTCCCACTAAAATGTTAACTCTGAAATTATGCATGTATTAAAAGTATCTGTGGAATTTGGGTATTAAGAAAATAGATTTAATTTCTTCTCTTTTGCCCCACAATTTCCCAGGCTTCTCTTTTATCCTGAAGTATTCCTTACCTCTAGAGCCTTTGTGAGTTCCATCACTATATTTCAATGCTAGGCCAGCATTTGTGAGTTCCATCAATATATTTCAAGCCCCAAAATGTTTCATGGCCAAATTAACTCGAGGATTGCTGATATAAGATCTGTGAAAACCAGTACCCACTTCTAAGTTCTGCCACCCCTCAGGCCTAGTCCCAGCTGAACTCTTGCGGCCAAGCAGTGCTCGGCCAATATGGGGCAACTTCTGCAGAAAGGCCAGGTGAAGGACCAGGTGGGCCAAAGACAGGTCTCTCAGACTAGCAGAAAGTGCTTTTAGCTAACTTTTTGTCAGAGATGCTGAGAAGATCTGGACACTGTAGAAAAGTTCGTGGCCTAGATCCGTAGCTGGCTGGTTCTTGTGCTCCCCTCTTGTCATGGTAGGGAGCAATGACAAGTGAGTGAGTTCCTCTTCCCCTGACTCTACAAGGATTTGTTCTCAACAGTTATTGCTAAGGAGCTTAGAACTTTTCTTAGGCATCACCCTCGGGTCCTTAGGGACATTTTCACATTATCCATCTGATACGTATGAGCAAAGTCCCTTCATTGCTTAGTACCCCAGGCAGCTTTCTGAATGTCGATTTCAGGGTTTCCATTCTGTGTTTCAGTCCCCAGTACATAACACAATTCCTGACCCAGAGGAGGTACTTAATCAATGCTTGATTTACCGGGTGCCCAGTAGTTGCAGATGTGCATTAGCAGCAAAAGTTTCTGAATTTTCCTGAGCCAGCGAAACCATTTCCTGAGCCTGCGTCACCTCCGCCTCCCCAAGCCCTCAGATTCCAGAACTCTCCAGCCTGCTTACTTTGAAGACTAAAAGCTTATTTAGTATGGTTAATTTGATTAGCACTTTTCAGATGTTAAGTAAAGATATTCTCTAGAATATTTTCCTGTTGGGGTATTTCATAGTTCTAGGTGGTTTCTGAAAAATCTCTAGTTGTTAGTTTTGTTCTTTCTCTAACTATGGTCTTGTTTCAGAGCATCCTTGCCCTCATGAACCTTCTATTCTAGTATGGAAGATAAAACAACCTCCAAGGCACATTCCAGCTCTAAAGCTATGAACATCTGAACTATAATAAAGTATCATTATAGTTCATACAAGGTGTTTTTATTTATTTATTTTTGCTTTTTGGTGAGGCAGTCGAGGTTTGCCCAGATTCACAAAGCTAGAAAGTGTCAAGTGTCTGAGGCCAGATTTGAACTCAGGTCCTCCTGACTCCAAGGCTGGCAGTTCATACAAGGTTGCCCCAACAAACGTCATTTTACAACAATATGATATTTAATAAGAAAAATTCTGCTGTGACATCATTCAGGCAAATACAGTTTATAATTGACTAGGCATTCATTAAACACCTATGATGTGCCAGGTACTATGCTGAAAATATGAAGCAAATGAAACTGTTCCTGTCTTCCTGGAGTTTACATTCTATTGGGGGAAGCATGTATATTAATAAATATATGCAGAAAATATAGAAAGGAAAGTTTCTAACATCATTCCTCTAGAAATAATCACTCCCATATAACATTTCTCCGAATGCCACATTCTTATGGATGCAGCTTACACTGGGTGGCAAATGCTTATGTAAGGTATGAGCAGAGTCCTAAGAACATTCAGAAATATAGCATAGTCCTTGGTAGAAATCAAACAACACCTAAGTATGAATGTGAATTTTTTTTTCCCCCTATAGCAGATTTTGACCCTGCAAGCCAGGAAGAACAGGAGTGTCCACAGAAAGCATTTATCCCCATCCTTTAAACTCTGGGTTACAGAGTTCCCGTTTGTTTAATATGTATAAAGATAGGAATGCTATGTAGAAAGAAAACATTTTTATCCTTTTGACTTTTTGAAAATGTATGAAGCCAACCTTTAGGGGGAATTTATCTTTTTTATGATGGTTCAAAGTAAAGCAATTCAGAAGGAATTACTTTTTGTATAGTTGAAACTTTTATACGGTCTTGGTTGGTTATAAAAAAATTTATCACACAGCATATCTAGTCTAATTATTTCATTGACTTTGACGTTGAAATTGAAATTACTTTTATGTTTTGAAGTTCGAAATTTTTGTCTTTTGCAACAGACCCTTTGTGTGGTTTCTGACAGGATACTTTTGATTTTGCAATGACTCTTAAAATACTATTTTGTTTTTTAGGAAGACAGGAAATCATTTCCATAACTTCATAAGTTGGCAAGACCTAAGAGCTACTGAGCTTGTGAAATCCTGGAATAATTCTTTTTTGTTAAAGGTAATCGTTTCCTTATCTTGTATAATTCAGCTCCTTTTGGTGTCGATGCAGTTAGTACACTTTATTTATTCACCGAAACTATTAAAACCTAGGGAAAGGCTGACACATTTTAAAGTACGTCTTAACTGTTATCATTACGATATAAACTGAGCCCCACTTGTAGCTGTAGTGCAGTAACTTGGGACTTCTTTAGCTTTTGTGTGTCATGGACCCATTTTGGCAGCAATTTGGGAAAGCCTATGGACTCCAGAATAACATTTTTAAATACATAAAATAAAATACATGGGATTGTAAAGGAAACCAAAGGTTGGTGACAATGAAGATGTAATTTTGGTAGACCCATGATCTTACCACAGTTCAACAGTCTAGGTTGTAACCTCTCCGTGCCTTCTCCTTCTTCAGTAATTCCCATCCATGACTTCTCATCAGTCCTCTGTAAAGGACTAAATCAGTGTGCTGAAGGACTTCCTTTCAGTCTCTTAATATCTCATTGGTACCAGTACACACCTTGGTTATCTAGTCCCTTGCTCTACCTGGTCCTTCTTTCCTGATCATACATTTCAGATCTCTCTTTGCAGGCAGATTGTGATAGTTCACCTGCCACAGTCTTTTTAGACCCACTGAGCTGCTCCACATTTTCCTTTGGGACGCCTGCAAGTTCTCTGGATGATGGTGAAGCACAGTTCACAGCTGGGTAGCTGTGAGAATGCTGTAGCTAAGAGAATATTGGGAGCCAGAAAAGGAGTTTATGTCAGTGCAGCTTGGGATCATTGACAGCACAGTGCACTTTCATAGTCGGTTAGCCAACAAGCATTTTATTAATATCTGGCCCTGTGCTAAGTGCTGAGGCTACCAAGAGTGGCAAAAAGAGTCTCCACCCTCATAGAGCTCACAGTCTAATGGGAGAGATACAGACATAGGAGATGGAAGGCTGGGGAGCATCTGGGAGACAAGGAAAGGCCTTTTACTGAAGGGAGGACTTGAGCTTACTCTTGCAGGAAGCCAGGGAAACCCACAGGCATGAATGAGGAGGGAGAGCATCCTGGGCGTAGGAGATGGAGGCAGTTTATAGAGTGCAGCTGAGCCCCTCTAGGGCAGTGTGGCTGGATTGTAGAGTACCTGTGGAGAGAAGATCAGAATCAGAGAATTTAGGGGTTGGAGTGGACCTCAGCCGGCATCTAATTCAACCCTGCTTCATCTGAATCCACGCTGAAACATACTGGACAAGCGTCCGTCTACTTGACGACGTTTAAGGAAGACGAGCCCAAGAAGAAATCTAAAACTTCCTCTGAGGAGTAGCCCTTCGTAGACTTGAACAGAGCTCTGGCTTCCCCGAGCCTCCTTTTCCTCAGCCATCCTTACGTGACTTGGACTTAGGGCCCTTCACCATCCTAGTTGCCTTCCCTAAGCCTTCTCCGTCTCACCGATGTCTTTCTTCAGTTTCAGTCCTTAGAACCGAACACAACACACCAGAGAAGGTGTGCAGAGTGAGGCCACCGTCGGATCCTCCCCTTCCCTGTTCCTGGCAGCTGTTCTTCTCAATACGGATCAAGATCACCTTAGCTTTTCTGACTGCTATATCATCCTCAGTACATTATGTTGAGCCTGAAATCCTCTCTAAGCTGCAGATCTTTCTTCAGAACCGCTGTCTAACCCCTCCTCTTCCATCCACTTGTGAAGATGATATTTTTGGCACATGTGTGTGAGACTTTACACTTATCCCTTTTGAATTTCATTTTATTGGATTTGGCTCAGTGCTCTGGGCTGTCAGGATCCTTTTGGATCTCCATTGTTAGCTATCCTTCCTAGCTTGGTTTCATCTGCGAGTTTGACGAGAATATTTTTCCCCCAGTATTTTCGAGATTGTTGCCTTTTGCATAGATTTCTCCATTGTGTATTTGGTCTGGTCCAGACTTCTTTCTTGACCCTCTCCTTCAGTGCCATTTCTATTGTATATAGCGCAGAGACTGAGTTGTTCATTTGAATGCAGTGATTCCACGGTCTTCAGTGATGAAAACATCTTAGGGGAACCCTGTCAATCTTGTCCCATTTCATCTGGAAAATGGGGGTGGAAGGGCATGGAGTTGGACTAGCTGATTTCTGAGTTCTATTCCTACTCTAGGTCACTGATCCTGTGAGTCCCCATTGCTCCCTTTTGGAACGTCCTGGCTTACATACATCTACCTAACACAAAGCTGTCTGCAGCTTTGCTTTTTTGTGAGGTGGTATGCTCCTTGCCTTTCATTATCCTTCTCCTTATTGTTTTTCCCGTGAATTTGTATTTTAAACCAATGTGATCTTTGGTGGTCTTGTCTCTCTACTTGTTTAAAGAAATCAAGTATTTACTGACTGAGGCAGTTTTGGGGTTCTTTTGGTCTCCATGTAGCAGCTTCTTTATATCACTCAGACTTTGGTAAAAGATTGTGATCATTAGAATCTGTGTGTTTTCCTTTATGACATTTTTCCCATTTTGGCATTGGTAGCTTGCTTGAATAGGTCAGGTTTGAGCTGTTGTTATTGCACTCAATGTCTTCTCATATTTATTCTTCTAATTTGATGTGGTTTTGGCCATTTTCTCAAACTAGTCTGTGGTCTGAGTACTCAGACAGGTATTTTGAAAATGACTTCCTCATCAATGAATTTTCATTTTTTGTCTATTAAAGATACACCAGTTTCATTTTTTCATGACGTTGGTCAGTACTCACTATGTTTGGTACCTTTTCATTAAAATGTAAACCTCTTGAGGGCAGGGACTATTTTTGCCCAGCACTTAGCAAGATTACTGGTACTGAGTAAGCACTAATAAATGCTTGTCAGTGAACCACTTCTTACTCTCTCTTTGAAGAAAGCATTAATGATATATTGGCAGGAGACTTCTGGAAAGCCTATAAGCCTTTGACCTCTTTCATATCTTAATCCTGAATCATATTTGCCAATGTTTTTCACTGCCCTACCCTGTACCCTCCTTCTCATTGATGTTATTAAATATCATATGGATTGGCTTGGTTTGGAAAAATCTTGTAGAATTTTTTTGGTAGAATTTCTTTGGCTCTTTATTATCTGACACATGGTTGTTGCCAGATAAGCTTCAGTTATCTTTCTGGGGGTCTTTCTGCTTATGTTCATTTCTTCTCTCCTCTTTCTAAAGATTCCTTCCCAACTCTGGGTGTTCTCACCTTCAGATTTTTTTTGTAGAATACTTTGAGCTCTTCTTTGCTTTCTTGGGGTTTTGTTGGTTGGTTAAATTGCTTCTATGGCTACATACGTCATTTGGTTAGACTGTGCCACAGTGTCTATGACCTTGCTATGCATTCAGTACTTTCTACTGCTCATGGATAAAAACCTCCACTGCCAGAAAATAGGCTCTGCCTCAGTAGGTAGTGGGATGTTGTTTGTTTTGGGTCATCATTGAAGGTATTTAAACCAGGATTGGATGCATCCTTGTTGGGGATACCACATAAGGGAAGAGGATGCTGCTTATGGCAGATAGGGAGGTAGTCTAGCTGTCCCCCGAGATCCTTTGAGCTCTGATTCAATTGCATTGGTCTTAATCAACAATATGAAGGTTTTCTGCAGGGCTTTTTCCTGACCCTTGGCAAAGCTTGCTACCAACTTTCTTGTGACTTAGAGATTTTGGCTAATAACTGTACGCCTCCTTTATTTAAATTCTTCCTGTGGAGATCCTGTAAGTCTGTTTATCAGTGAGGAAAAAAATGGAAGGAATAACATTTCAGGTTCTTACTGTTTATAACCCCTTCATTCTCTGGGGAAAGTGAGCCTGACAACCAAACAAAGAGCCAGGGGAAAGGGTGGAGAAAGCAACTTTGTTTAGTGTATTCTGTCAATTTGGTGTGTTATATGGGTTTGAGAAGCAGTGGCATCCATTTTCACCATGTAATAAATAGTGCCATTAGCTTTTAACTCCATTATTTGTTTGATGTTTATGAATTCTCTTTCATATGGACACCTGAGATGACTGGGCTGATTTTTTTTCTTATAAATCTCCAACTTCTGTCTTAAATACTGCGTAAGTCCTGCTCTGGGCTTTTAAAAAAAAAGAATCAGGCTATTGAGAAGTAAGCCTGAAACTGTAAGAAGATACTCTTCTCATTCTCGATATTCTGATAAAGCTGGAATATAATTTATCAGAGTGAAATGTAGAAGGTTTGGAATTATTTTACTTCTTAGTCTGTAATCACACACCTTCATCCCAGATTAGTATTAACCTACCTTTCTTCCACATGAATTCCAATGTTTTGATCTGAGAAGAAGTTCAGGAAGAAAATTTCCTTTTTTAAAAGCATATTTGATTTTATAACATTCTCAAGGTTTACAAGCCATAGATTTGATTTGAAGCCAATACGTGGGAGTGTAAGTAAAAGGAAAATATTTAAAATGTTACTCTTCAGCAGAGACAGCATAGTGGTAGGTGAGCTGGCCTTGATGCCAGGAAGCCTTAGATTCAAGTGCTGCCTCTTGTCACGGACCAACTGTGTGGTCCTGGACAAGTCACTTAACCTCTTAGTGCTATCGGCAACTCTTGAAGATTGTAAGCTTCTGAGAAGGTGCTGACCACCATTGATGGAGAGAGTTTCCTCACCAGGGAAATCCCCATGACAGTGAAATCACAGTCTGGCTTATACCATCATCTTTAGATTTTGGCTGATGGGTGCATACCTACTATATTTAAATTCTTGTTTTTGAAGATCCTATCCTTGTCCCTGTTCCTACTCTCCAACATGAGATTAGCAAACAGCTCCATTGATGAGGAAGTCATTTTCACACTCATTGAGCCTCAGTAGAGTACTCAGTGCCCCAATGCTGCTAACGGCCTGTAGTTATCTGGGTACTCCAGGACAAAGTTCACCATCTGGAGCTGGCCTACTTGCCATAGTGTGACTACTATAAACATGACACCTTTCTATTTCAGTCGGAAATAGCCTGGCCACTCAAAGGGACTTGCATTTGTGCTAGGACCCTTGGCCATGATAAAACAGTCTGGATTAGGCAGTGCAGCATTTCAGCTTTTTGCTCATTTCCCTTTATTGAGGTGATTTTTAAAAAAATCTATTCAATATATAAGATGGAGACCAAACTATGTTTCTAAATAGTTTAAAGAAATTGTATTTGGTACTTCCTCATGTAATTAACTTAATCTTCTAAAAAGAAAGTTAAATACTTTTAACTTTACTAAATAACTTTTAAAATGTACTACTTTACTTTTAACTTTACTAAATGACTTTACTACTTCTAAAATGTACTCTTTTTGTTAAACAGCTAATACAGAATTCCTGCAAAATACTTCACTTATTCACTCGAAGTAGACGACTTTTAGGTGCCAGTTTATTCAGTTTTACGACTCAGCAAGTGGGTTTGAGATTGGCCTGGGTTTTACAGAACGTGATTGAGGTAAGAACAGAATGTGGTGATGAGAGGGCTGCAAAATGAGAACTTTGGGGAAGAAACATTCCAGGTGTGAATGTGTTAATTCAGCTATATAGGTAAAATCTAGGCTTTCACCATAGAGTTGAGATAGGAGATTGGGCACCTCGGTTTTTTTGTTCCATTTTTAAGCGTTTTTGAGACTCGGATCCAAATCCTACGTCAGCAGTAAAGATCAAAGACAAGATGTACTCTGTGCCTCATTACATGCTAGTCAGATATGTAGAGAAAAGTTCGAGATGTTCTTAAAATAGTTGGCACTCAGTAGATTTATTAATGATTATTGCTGGCTTTTTCTGATCTGTGACCTCTGTCTCTGTATGCTTCAGCCACTCACTAGATCTCACCATCTCCAGGTTCTTCAACTTTAAGGCTGACTTCTCCTTTTGTCAACTCCTGGCCTTATACTTGTCACCTTGACTTTCTCCTCCCAAACCTGATTGTCAGCTTTACTATGTCCTCCAGTCCTTCATCTTTATCAGCTCTCTTACTCTGTTGCCCTGTTCTAACCTCACTTTCTTTCCTTCACAGTTTTCATACGGTGGCTAACCTGTTCAACTATTCATTGTACTCCATCCTTTAATCTCTTACCCTGTTGTCCTTCTGTTCATTTTCTGTTCTTCTTCAAGAATGGTTCACTCCACAATCCTGTTTTTCTACTCCTACCCCAGAATCACTGAATGCTGCTAGAGGAAGACATGAAACCATGTTGGTTGATTTTACTACCAATTCATGTTCTCTGATCTCAACCAATCCCTCACTGCTGCATGGCAATCCTTTTATGCTTCCTTGATGGACTGACTCCTTATCGTATTTCCCACAGAGGCTATTATAGAACTTTTCTCAAGCTCCTTGAGTGCAGCCTATAATTAGTGTTGTTACTTTTGAGTGTATAACTATTTTATGTGTGTGTATGTATGTAGTCTTTCCAAAGAGATTATACATATGAGGAAGGGGGTGGCTTTTGTTCAAAGTATTAGACTATTTGCAAGTTATTGTATTGAGTCCTGTGGGAAATTTATATATCTATGATGAATATGTGTGTGCGTGTGTGTGTGTGTGTGTGTGTGTGTACGTACATCAGTGCCCTCAGGAAGTTTACAATGCTATTTCAGGAGATGAGTCAAACAGAAAAAAGTTAAATAAATTTTAAGCTACAAGACCATGATACAGTCATTATAACAAGTCAGTATTTGATCTATTACCCAATTAATGTTATAGATAGGTACTGTGAATAAGAAATTTAACCTTCTAGTCCTGGTTATTTAGGGATAGAATTACATGAGATGAAATGCGTTTCTTCTATCAATCACATTTAAGAATATATTGTACAAAATGCAAATTAGGATCCCTTTGATTTAAGTCATAGATGCAAGATTAATTCTCTTTGGGAATTGGATGTGACCAGGTATGGAGAGTTTTAAGTATGCTTAACAAAGTTTTAATTTTTAAATTTGAAAAAAAATCATTTTAATAGACATTCAAAACAGATTAACATTTGGCTATAAAGAATCAGTGTATCTGTACAGAATACTCCTGTTTTCTACGACTTCCCCTTCCTCCTTGCAAAAACAAATCAGAAAGGAAAACTGCTGAAGAAAAAAGTAATATGAGAATTCCATATTAGTTAAAGGAATTCTGCCAAAAACATTTTCCCTAAATAATCTAGATTATAGGCAATCTGTAGAAAAGGTTTCCTTCTTAAAGTTCTCTAGGAATTTAGTTGTTTTTAATTCAGAATGCATTTTTCTAAAGAAACATTATGAAGGTGTTATAGGTTAGACTTAGGCCAGTGTGATAACCAGGTTTTGAGACTAGAACCGCATGAGATGCCCCTCAGTCATGTAACAGTTAAAAGAAAGTCTACTTAACCAAACATGGGAAGGATACTAAACAAGAATAACTTGGTTTAGGTTTATGTGATCTCCCTCATTTCTGTCCAGAAACACATCTGGTGAGCAAGGCAGGGGATGAGTTGTGTGGCAGTGATGTATCTGTCCAGTCTGAAGGACGGTGACTTCTCCTGGACTCATCTTTTCAATGCCATTGTTGTTGTTGTTTGTCCTTTGTTCTCGAGAGGACCATGACATCAGGGAGGTGATGCCATGACTTGCAAGTGGATTGGATTTAAGTGAGGTAGGGCTGTGCAGAGTCACCAGCCTCACTCTCTCCTCCAGAGCCATCTGGGTCCAGTGGTGATATATAGATCAGGGCGATTGGAGACGGCCCTGGATGCAGTGGAAGACCCTGGCCTTTTTAAGCTAAGGCCTCAGTTTGTCTGAGGCAATGCCCAATCAGTGATTAAGGCTAGGTAAGAAATGAGACAGAGAATGGCCTCTTTGACCTAGTAAAAAAAAAAAAAATCAATCTTGGAAGGGAAGACCCTGAGGGTTTCTGGCCAAAACAGAAACAGTTGCTATTTACATTCACTCTGAGCCAATCAGGGCACAAACAATGACCAAGAGGCAGCCATGAAGCTCCTTCTGAGCCAATGAAGCTTCCCAGACAGGGATCCTTAATTTTATTTTGTGTCATGAACTCATTGGGCAGACTGGTAAAGCCCATGGACTCCTCAGAATAATGCTTTTAAATGCATAAAAATACATAGAATTGCCAAGAAAACCAGTTATATTGAAATGTAGTTATCAAAATAGTTAAAAAAAAAAAAAAAGCCAAAACCTCATAAAACAAAAACACCAAGTTTATGGGCCCCTGCTTAAAAACTCTTGTTTTAGGGGGAGAAATTAATGTAGCTTACATGTTGGGCATCCCAGTAAATACTGTTCCTTTCTACCACCAAAGGGTAATTGGGTTTCTAGGTTAGCTCAAAAAAGCTTCTTTAACCCGTTAACATAACAATTATAGTATGAACCAGACAATAGACCATTATATGTATTTTTTTGATTTTCCTATTGAGATAAATACATTTCAGGTATAAACATATAGAGCAGGATATTTCCTCTCCTTTCCAGAATAGTACCAGTGAAAAGAGTACATACTCTTTTCCTTTCAAAAACTCACATAAACACCTACTATGTGAATTTACTTTTCCCTTCCCTACTATTGACCCAGTTCCCATGATCATTTTGTTCGGGGTCTTAGTGGCTTTTGCGGCCTTTCAGGATAGGAATAGGGCTTATTTAAGAGGACCTCCAGGGTTCTGAAAGTGTGGTGGAGGCGGGTGAGACAGAGGCCTTGGGCTTCCTCGTTCCTGCAGCCATCCTTGCATTTGGATCTGATGGATGACAGTCAAGGGCCTGGGCAGAAAGGGTGCTTTAGACATCCTAGGGAAGTTGAAATTTTCAAAGGATAGTTATAGGGAAGGTTGCTGGAGATATTTTGGGGGTAGTGACTGGAGGTCATTCCTATTTATGAGTAATTTGTAACTTAGATCTTCTCAAGTGGAGTCTACTTGTAGCTGTCACAATCCTCTCTTTTTTTGTGCAAATGTAGTGTCAGAAATAAAGAAATCAAGTTTCCATTATATGTAGGTAAGCCAAACCAAAGTAAATCTAAGATATTTTTCTACTTGTTTATATAAAACAAGTACATTTGGAATTTATACTCAAGCAGAGTTTTGCCTTAAGTTTTACATAAAAGAGAGTTGCATGCCTTTTGTTACCCTTATTGCCTAGGAATGCCTTTTCTGCTCCTCTCCGCCTACCCAGATTTTTTATGTACTTCAACACTGGATTTAATTACCAGTCTTGCACAAAACCTTCCTTGATTGCTTTTGTCCACTGATCCCTTCTTGGTTTTCTGTAGGATTTATTGCCTTTATGTATAGTTTACTCTTAATTCTTTTCTGTCTTGTTTCCTATGTTTCTGTCTTACCTCCCCTCAAGATTGTAAACTCCTGGAGAACAAGAATAGTGTGAACTGTTGTATCCTCCCCATGGTGCCTAGCAGATGTTAACTATTCACAGTCATTTGTTAACTTGAAGTTTTTGCTATTTTGTATTTGTATGGCATCTTTTTTCTGAAAAGCTCATGTTCAGATAGGAATATATCATTTGTCTGATTCAGTTTTGTTGATCCTTTATTATAACAAAACATAATTAATCTTTAACTCCCTATTTGCAAACCATTCCTTTCATTTTAGTTATTAGTATTCTGTCATTCACATTAACAAACAACTCTTAAAACATATTTTAGATGTATTTTAGATAAGACATTAATGTGCTGTTGGTGAAACTGATCTAGTCATTCTGGAGAGCAATTTGAAACTATGCCCAAAGGCCTATAAAACCATGCATACCCTTTGACCTAGCAGTACCACTGCTAGGTTGGTATTCCAAAAGAGATAAAAAACAGAAAGGAAAAGGATCTATATGCATAAAAATATTTATAGCAGCAGCTCCTTTTCTGGTGGCAAAGAATTGGAAACTGAGAGGATGTCTATCAATTGGGGAATGGATAAATGAATTGTGGTGATTATGATAGGAAACTATTGAGTTATAAGAAATGATGAGCAGGATGCTCTCAGAAAAACCTAGAAAGGCTCACATGAGCTGATACAAAGTGAAATACACTGTGTACAAAGTAACAGCAATGTTGTAAGATGATCAGCTGTGAATGACTTGGCTATTCTCAGCAATACAATGATCCAAGACAGCTCTGAAGGACTTATGATGAAAAATTCTATTCAACCCCTGAGAAAGAACGGATGATGTCTGAATGCAGATTAAAACATGCTTTTTTTTAACTTAATTTTTCTTGAGGGTTTGTTTTTTTTGGGGAGGGAGGTCTATGTTTTCTTTCACAATATGACTATTATGGAAATGTTTTGTATGACTACACATGTATAGCCTATATTGAATTGCTTGCCTTCTCAATAGGGATGGGGCGGGGGGGGGGGGAGGAAAGAAGAGAATTTGGAACTTAAAGTTTTAAAAATGAGTGTTAAAAATTGTTTTTACGTGTAACTGGGGAAAAATAAAATATTAAATAAAAATATTTTAGAAGAGTTTGGCAATATTTTTCCTCTTTGGTATAGACAGACTAGCAATTAAGATCTGTACATCTAACCTTTTAATTAAATGTAATTTTGCATTTTGGGGTTTTCTAGGTACAAAAAGCAGTTAGAGAAGAAAATTGTTGCTTTGGAACCATTGATACTTGGCTATTGTATAAGCTCACAAAAGGTAGGGCTAACATGGCAAAGTGATAACTCAAGTAAGTGAAATTTGAAACACAAATGCGCGTAAAGGAGTGGGGGTGATAGCATCAGCTGTTTCCTTTCCCATCCCAGACCCTTTCCTCAGAGCCTTAGTGTAAGTCACAAATATGCAAGTAGAGCCAGTTTAAGCATTTGAAATAGGGAGCTGCCTCTAAGGCTTTGCATCCCAAGAAATTGATAGTAAGAGCATGGGTACAGATCTACACATTATTAAACCTTGACTTGTCTTCACATGTTTCGTTGTGAAACCTGGAACTAAGTATCTTATTTTCATCATAAATGCAGGTTCTGCATATGCCACGGACTTTTCAAATGCTAGTACAACTGGAATTTTTGACCCATATCAGGTAGAAATTTTTTGTGTCTTCTTTCCTGAGTCTTTTTTTTTTTTAGCTAGGCAACGGGGTTAAGTGACTTGCCCAAGGTCATCCAGCTAGTAAGTGTTATGTGTCTGAGGCCGGATTTGAACTCAGGTCCTTCTGAATCCAGGGCCAGTGCTCTGTCCACTGCGTCACCTAGCTGCCCCTTGTGACTTCCTTGAAAGCTAATTATAATAAATTATCGATTGGCCCTGATAAAGTGTTGAGAAAATGCACCTCCATTTCCTCTGTGCAGATCTAGGAGACTTTGGGTGTGAAATATTATGCATACTATCAGATAGAATTGCTGATTAGTTTTGCTGAGCTGCTTTTTTTCACTCTCTAAAAAAAATCTTTAAAAAGGGTAGCTAAATCATTTGGGGATATGCTTGGAAATAAAGGTGATATAAAAAAACTGTAAAAAATAAGGTAAAAGAGAGCTAATTTATTAAGCAAATCAGCTCTGATTCTTATGAAGTATTTTTGTGTTCAGATGTGCTGGAGTGGTATCCTTACTTCCCTGCTTTCAATACCAATCTCTCTCCTGCCTCCTGTGAAAGATACCAGGTAATAGTAAGCCTCAGATATAAGAACCAACAAAAAAATCCTTTTAATCCATTTTTTTTCTTAGAAGGGGGGGATCATTATGCAGAATCATAAAATACTATAGAATTTTTCTTTTGATTTGTAAATATACTACATATAGTACTACATACTAAAATATTTTTCTTAAATTATACTTAAATGTGATTTTTAATCACAATTTAATAGACCTTTGTGCTACTAATTGCCTAACATTTAGATCTAAGCTATAATTGGTTGTTAAGATCTTAAATTTATGTTTTTTAAGGCACAAATGACTAATTTAAAAACTCATTTTCCTTAAAGTCACAACTTTGGATCAGTGGATAAAGAAATATTTGGAGCCTCCATACCAATTGTGGCCTTGGTGAGTAGAGAACTTAAGAGCTCCCCTTTGTGGTATAAAGTAAGTTAATTTCCAGGAATAGCCAGAATTGATTATGGGGGAAACAACAGGCCTTGACTACAAAGTGGACTGACTGACAAACGGCCCTAAATTCTCCTGACAGGAAGGTCCAGATAGTTTGCACAAGGGCAAACTATCTTGACACCACTTTGAAGTCTTTTGTAATCTCTTTTCATGGCTGTGTTTAGAAAATCTTATTTAAAAAAAAATAGAAAATGTTGTTTAAATTTTGTTTAGAAAGGGTTTTGTTTGTTTGTTTTTTGTTTTTCTGATAGGGATGTGGTTCTTTTATTCATTTGTTTTTGAGGGGCCTGGTATTTGATATTTTCTACGTAAACTAAAGTTTTCCTTAGATACTGCCTTAGTTGAAGGTCATTGTTTAACATGGGCAGCAGCTGCTGCTAGAGGAAAGATTTCTTTTTTTTTCTTTAGACAGCTGCTATAACCTAGTAGGGAAAGCACCACGTAGAGTCAACAGGGCTTACATCCTGGCTCTCTGACTCTCTATACGTGAGACCTTGGGCAAATCACAACCTTTCTGAGCCTCAGCTTCCTCTTCTGTAAAAATGGAAGTACTAATTCCTATACAATCTTAGGCTTACAAAACTCAAATGAAAGGTGAAAGTGCAATACAAACCATACATTCTGTGTAAATGTAGGGCAGCTAGATGGCACAGTAGATAGAGCGCTGGGCCTGGAATCATCTTCCTGAGTTCAAATTTGGCCTCAGACATTGGGCAAGTTCCTTAACCCTGTTTGCCTCAGTTTCTTCATCTGTCAAGTGAGCTGGAGAAGGAAATAACAAACCATTCCAGGATCTTTGCCATGAAAATCCCAAATAGTGTCACAAAGAATTGGATATGACTTAAGAATGACTGAAGAATTTACTATATACTGTAAAAGGAAATAATAATTGTGAGGGAGATACTATATGCATTGTTATTATCTGCTTGTGCTAGATGGAAAAGAAGAATATAAGATAATTAGAGGAAGTAGTCTAGGTCTTTTAGCTGATCAAAACGCAAATTAAGACATTTATTTGACTTATATTAACCAAATATTTATGATAGTGATGGGAAAAAAACCATACTAACTACCAAAAACTACTCTATCCTGTTTGATTCCAAGAGCTTTGCGGATAAAGGAGAACAATATAAGGCATGGTTTGCTTTTTTCTTATTTAGTTTGGTTTTTCTATAAAAGAATTCAGGGTGGTTCAGAAAGATAATTGTAAATTAAGTTTAGAGGTAAAAGTAGGGTTATATTAAATCGTTTAGAAAACAGAGATTGATACGGGAATCTTAAACTTTTAAAATGAAAAGCCTGTTCTAGCCCTATAATTATCTCTTTTTAATACTTAATTTTTTTTAGTCTAGAAATTCATATTTCCCCCTTGTCTCTAGTGTAAATCATACTTACAGATTAGCCTTGGTGGTTTACACTAAACCAAGAAGGCTCCTAACACCACCTGGTGGCAGAATATCTACATCACAGGCTGAGTTCTTTTGAGTGGTCAAATTCCTAAAGTGAAATTGCAAGCCTATTCAGTGGACAAGAGCACCTACACAGCCTCTGTGTTCTCTCCACCACTGTGACCCAAGTATTAAGCCATGAGATTCTTTTACATGATGGTGGCAAGCATCAGATTTCTAATAGGAGACTCTTAGAGCATATTAAGATATGTATTTTTAAGGCCTTTGCCCTTTAGTGGAAAGGGCCCATACATAACAATATAGAAGAATCAACCAAATAAATTTCCAGCCCCAGAGGGAATCATACTTTGATTATTTTTTGAATAGATTTTTTTAAAAGTAAAATGGTTGATGAGATGTGTTATATAACCTTGAAACTGATTGGGTCAATAGATTTTTATCTTTCGGTAATTAATATAGGTAGCTGACCAACAGGCTGCCATGTTTGGGGAATGCTGCTTTCAGAGAGGAGACGTGAAGCTCACTATGGGAACAGGGACTTTTTTGGACATCAATACTGGAACCAACGTTCAACAGACTGTTGGAGGTAAATGGCCAACCTCTTTTCTGTTGTTTGTTTGTTGTGAATAAAACCACATCTCTTAAGAAAACTTGAGCAAATCTTTCCTGATACTCACTGTGAGGCAATCTCTTACTATACATTGGTGATGTCTTCTGTTGGCTTTTCATAACAAGGTAACTGAATATTTTCTCTATTTAAGTTGAGTCAGTACTACTAAAAGCTAACCAACTTACATTTCTCTTTATTGTCTTGTGTTGTTTTCTTTACCTTCTAGCAACAAAAGAATTTTCACGTGATATTATGTATATTTATGTATACTAACATAAAATATTATCCCCTTAATATCTATTCAGAAAATATGGGACACTGTGGTCTGCTTTCTAAACAATATTTGGATAATATTGGAAACTGATTTGGACATCTGGCTGTGCTTAAGTCAAATCAGCTAGCACTTATTGTGCCAGGCCCTGTGCTAAGCACAGATGATACAAAAAAAGGCAAAAACTGGCCCAGCTTCCAAGGAGCTTGCAGTCTGATGAGGGGAGACAACATGCAAACAACTGTGTACAACAGGCATGTTTCTCTCTTTATGACTGAATTTATAGTGATTCATTAGGGGGTTTTGCCTTTGGAGTGATCAATAAACCACCAAAGTTAGAATTAGGTTTAATATCTTTTGGTGACTCCCAAACTTTCATCTTCTCCAAATGTTCCTGGTTTTTTGAGGACATAAACTAGTCACCCGGGTGTGTAACCTTGGAGGCTCTCCTTGATTCTTTCCTCTCCCTTACTCACCATACTCTCTTACATGGCCAGGTCTTGTCGGTTCTACCTGCGCAACATTTTTCACATTGGTCCTTTTCTCTCCTTCACACAACTACCATACTCATTCACATACTCATTACTTTTCACCCGCTGTGTTATAATAGATTCCTACTTCATTTTCTTGCTTCCTGTCTCTTCCCTTCTCCAGTTCATCTTCTACATGCCTTCCAACTTAAACATAAATCTGACCATGTCACGTCTTGGCTCAAATCTTCAGTCCTTCCCTGTTGCCTCTAGGATAGTATACACATTTGTCAGCCCAACATTGAAAGCCCTTCTAGAGTCTGGCTTCACCTTAACTTTCCAGATTTGTTTCACATTCTTCCTCTTCACATGATCTCAGTTACAGACTAAGTTGCTATTTCACAAACTTGGTATTCTGTTTCCTGCCTTGGTGCCTTTACCAGACAAACCCACGCCTGGAATGGACTCAGTCTTTATCTTGTCCTGCTACAGTCCCTGGAGACTGCATTCATGGGCCACTTCCTTCCTCAGCTGCCTCCTTCATTTTCTCTCACTCTGTCTCTTCATTTTATATCCCCAGAAACCTCTTTGAGGTCAAGGCCTGGTTTGCTTTTTTTGTTTTTTTGGGGTTTTTTTTTTTTTTTTTGGTCTTTGATCTGAAGCACCTTGCATATGGTAGACTCTTAATGTTGACTAAATTGAATTGAATACTAATTTCTTTAATAAACTTGTCTCTAAATAGCTTTGGATTTTACTTAGTACAGTACTTGTTTGGAAATTAACAGATATGTAGAAGTCTTTAAGATGACTGAATTATCCCATTTTAAAATGTCTGTGAAACAGGGAGTTATGTGTTAAATATTGTATAACTTGCACTTATTTTTATTTATAAGGTTTCTATCCATTAATTGGTTGGAAGATTGGTCCAGAAGTTGTATGCTTGGCTGAAGGCAATGCAGCAGACACTGGTACTGCTATAAAATGGGCCCAGAATTTGAGTAAGTAAACCTTCAAACTGATCATAAAATATGCAGAATTTAAGCTCTTAAATATTAGTACCAGTTACTCTTTTGATAATTATCAGACAGGGTATTGACTGTTTCTGCATAAGGACTTTGAATGAGAGCTCTTTGTAGAAATCTTTTGGAATTTGAAAGAATAGAACAAAAATGGTTATTTGGAAGTTAAAACCTGAGAGAAATGAAGATGTACTTCACTGTTTTTTTTTCTTGAATTTCCCAATCAGGAGTTGGTTTGGTGCATTTTCTAGATCTGTTTGTTTTTTGTTTTAAATTACTTTTAATTTATTTTGTTAAGTATTTCCCAATTACATGTAAAAAAATTTTAGGAATAATTTTTTTAAATTTTGAGTTCCAAATTCTCTCTTTCCCTATTGCCCCTCCCCTCTCCTTGATTTTGTTGATATATATGAGGTCATGCAAAACATATTTCCATATTAGCCATGTTGCAAAAGAAAACACAAACAAAATAAAACAATAAAAATAAAGAAAAATTTTAAAAGTATACTTCAGTCAGCATTCAAAGTTCATCAGTTCTTTCTCTGGAAGTGGATAGCATTTTTCATTATAATTGTGATTGGAAGACATTTGAAATTATCTTAGATCATTGTCTTGATCAGACTAGCTAAGTCTTTCACAGTTGATCATCCTTACACTATTGCTGTTACTACGTACAGCTTTCTTGTAGTTCTGCTCACTTCACTTTGCATGAGTTCATCTAAGTCTTCTCAGGTTTTTCTGAAACCATCTTGCTCATCATTTCTTATAGCACAATAGAATTCCACCACAATTATGTATCACAGCTTGTTCAGCCATTACCCAATTGATGGGCATCCCCTTGATTTCCAGTTCCTTGCTACCACAAAAAGAGCTGCTATAAATATTATTGTACATATGGATCCTCTTCCCTTTTCTTTGATTTCTTCGGGATACAGACCTAGGAGTGGTATTGCTGGGTCAAAAGGTGTGCACAGTTTTATTGCCCTTTGAGCATAGTTCCAAATTGTTCTCCAGAATGGTTGGACCAGTTCACAGCTCTACCAGCAGTGCATTAGTGTCCCAGTTTTTAGACATCCTCTCCAACATTTGTCTTTTCCTTTTCTGTCATGTTAGCCAATCTGATAGATGTGAGGTAGTATCCCAGAGTTGTTTTAATTTGCATTTATCTAATCAGTAGTGATTTAGAGCATTTTTCCATGTGACTATTGATAGCTTTGATTTTTTTTTTCTGAAAACTGCCTTTTTATATCCTTTGACCACTGGGGAATGGTTCTTATTTTTATTGGCTCAGTTCCCTGTATATTTAAGAAATGAGGCCTTTATCAGAGAAACTTGCTGCAAAATTTTTATTCCCAGTTTCTTGTTTTCCTAATTTTGACTGCATTAGTTTTGTTTGTGCAAAAGCATTTTAATTTTATGTAATCAAAATTATCTATTTTCCTTCCTGTAGTCCTGTTTATCACTTGCTTGGTCATAAACTCTTCCCTTATCCATAGATCTGACAGGTACATTTTTCCATGTTCCCCTAATTTAGCTGTAATATAACGCTTTATGTCTAATCATCCATCCATTTTGACCTTATCTTGGTATGTGGTGTGAAGTGTTGGTCTATGCCTAGTTTCTACCAAACTACTTTACACTTTTCTCAGCAATTTTTGTCAAATGTTGAGTTCTTATCCCAGTAGCTTGCATCTTTGGGTTTATCAAACACGAAATTACTATGGTCATTTACTACTGTGTGTTGTGTAGTTAATCTGTTCTGCTGATATACCACTCTGTTTCTTAGCCAGTACCAGATTGTTTTGATGATTACCACTTTGTAATACAGTTTGAAATCTGAAACAGCTAGTCCTCCTTTCTTGACTTTTTCTTTCATTGATTCCCCTGTTATTCTTGACCTTTTGTTCTTCCAGATGAATTTTATTACTCTTTTTTCTAGGTCTGTAAAATGATAATTTGGTAGTTTGGTTGGTATGGCACTGAATAAATAAATTAACTTAGGTAATATTGTCATTTTTATTATATTAGTTTGACCAACCTGTGAGCAATTAATATTTCTCCAGTTCCTTTAGAGCTATCTTTATTTGTGTGAAATGTTCTATAATTGTGTTCATATAATCCTTGGGTTGTCTTGGCAGGTAGACCCCCAAGTATTTTATATTGTCTGCAGTTACTTTAAGTGGAATTTCTCTTTCTATCTCTTGTTGCTGGGTTTTGTTGGTAGGGTATAGAAATGCTGATTAATTGTGTGAATTTACTTATATCCTGAAACTCTGCTGAAGTTGTTATTTGTTTCATCTAGTTTTTTAGTTGATTCTCTAGCATTTTCTAAATATAGCATTATGTCATTTGCAAAGAATGATAATTTTGTTTTCTCTTTCTTTCGATTTCTTTTCCTTGTCTTATTACTACAGCTAGCATTTCTAGTACAGTATTGAATAATACTGTAATGGTATTAATGGACATCCTTGCTTCACTCCTGATCTTATTGGGAAGGCTTCAAGTTTATACCCATTACAGATAATTCTTGCTCTGGTTTTTGATAGATGCTATCATTTTATTAATTATTTATTAATATTAATATGATCATTTTAAGAAAGTCTCCATTGATTCTTATACTTTCTAGTGTTTTTAATAGGAATGGGTGTTGTAGTTTGTAAAAAGTTTTTTCTGCATCTATTGATATAATTATATTATTTTTGTTGTTATTGTTACTGATATAGTCAATTATACTGATAGCTTTCCTAATGTTGAACCAGCCTTGCATTCCTGGTATAAATCCTACCTGGCCATAGTGTATGACCTTTGTGACATAATGCTGTGATCTCCTTGCTGGTATTTTATTTAAATTTTTTGCATTGATATTCATTGAGGAAATTGGTCTATAGTTTTCTTTCTCTGTTTTTGTTCTCCCTGGTTTAGGTATCAAGACCATATTTGTGTTATGAGAGGAATTTTATAAGGTTCTTTTTCCTATTTTTTCAAATAGTTTATATAGTTTAATATAGATTAATTTTTCCTTAAATGTTTGGTAGAATTCACTTGTAAATCTACTTGGTCATGAGGATTTTTTTTCTTGCAGAACTCATTGATGGCTTATTCAATTTCTTTTTCTCAGTTAGGGTTATTTAAGCATTCTGTTTCCTCTCCTGTTAATCTGGACAGTTTATATTTTCGTAAATATTCATCCATTTCACTTAGATTATATACTGGCATATAATTGGGCAAAATAACTCCTAATAATTACTTTAATTTCATCTTTATTGGTGGTTCCTTCACCCTTTTCATTTTTGATACTGGTAATTTGGTTTTTTCCTTTCATTTTTTTTTTAACAATTTAACCAGTGGTTTATCTATTTTATTGATTTTTTCATAAAACCAGCTCCTAGTTTTCTTTATTAGGTCAATGTTTTTTTTTTTTAACTTACAAATTTTATTAATCTCTCCTTTGATTTTTCAGGATTTCCACTTTGATGTTTAATTGGGGTTAAAATTTGTTCTTTTTCTGGTTTTTTTTTTTAGTTGTATGTGCAATTCATTGATCTGTTATTTCTCTCTTTTATTGATGGTAGGCATTTAGAGATATAAATTTTCCCCTACATACTGCTTAGGCTGCATCCCACAAATTTTGGAATGTTGTCTCATTGTCATTTTCTTCAATGAAATTATTGTTTCTATGATTTGTTCTTTGACCCATTCATTCTTTAGGGTTAGATTATTTAGTTAGCTTTTTAATCTATTAGCTTTTTAAAAATCAATTAGATTTTAATCTATGCTTTCACAGCCATTTATTAAATGTAATTTTTATTGCATTGTGGTCTGAAAAGGGTGCATTTAATATTTCTGCTTTTCTGCATTTGGTTGTGAAGTTCTTATGCCCTTATATGTGGTCAGTTCTTGTGTAGGTACTATGTTCAGCTGAGAAAAAAGTATACTCCTTCCTGTTCTCATTAAGTTTTCTCCAGAGGTCTGTCATATCTAACTCTTCTAAGATTCTATTCATCTCCTTGTCTTTTTTCTTATTTATTTTATGGTTAGATTTATCCAGCTCTGAGAGGGGAAAGTTGAAGTCCCTTACTACTATAGTTTTACTTTCTATTTCTACCTGAATTTCACTTAAATTTTCCTTTAAGAATTTGGATGCCATGCCATTTGGTGCACATGTGTTTAGTATGGATATTACTTCATTGTCTATGGTTCCTTTTAGTAAGATGTAGTTTCCCTGCTTATCCCTTTTAATTAGATCTATTTTTGCTTTTGCTTTGTCTGAGATCATGATTACCACCCCTGCCTTTTTTACTTCAGCTGAAGCATAGTAGATTCTGTTCCAGCTCCTGTTTCTCTGTTTTAAATGGATTTCTTGTAAATAGCATATTGTTCCATTCTGGTTTCTGATCCATTCTGCTATCCTCTTCTGTTTTATGGGTGAGTTCATCCCATTCACATTCACAGTTATGATTACTAACTGTGCATTTCCTTCCATCGTATTTACTTATTTAGCTATCTCTCTCCTTTTGTCCTGTCCCTCCTCTAAAATCTGTTTTGCTTCTGACCATACCTTGTTTCATTTGCCCTACCTTTTATCATCCCCACCTTTTTCTTATCCCCTTCTCCTCTTGCTTCCTTGTTTGGCAAGATAGATTTCTATTACTAATTGAGTATGTATATATGTATATATACATATATATGTATATATGTGTATATGTATGTATATATGTATGTATGTATTTTTCCCCCTTTATGAGCCAATTTAGACGTTAGTGAAGTTCAAACGTTGCTTCACCCCCTGCATTTTCCCCTCCACCATAAAAGCTCTTCCTTGTGGACCTCTTTTATGTGAGATAATTTTCCCCATTCTTCCCCTTCCTCCCCCCTAACCCCAAAGCATCCCTCTTTCTCACCTGTCAGTTTTTTTACATCATTGCAACATAATTGAGTCACTCCTACACCCTTTTTCTATGTAGAATCCTTCTAACTGCTCTAGTAATGATAAAGTTCTTAGGAGATGTATCATCATCCCATATAGAAAATTAAAACAGTTTAACCTTATTCAGTCCCTTATGATTTCTCTTTCATATTTGTCTTGCATCTTGTATTTGAAAGTCAAATTTTCTATTCCACTTTAAAATAGAAATCAAGGATGCTTGAAAGTCCTCTATTTCATAAAATATCCATTTTTCTCTTGAAGGATTGTGTTCAGTTTTGCTGGGAAGGTTATTCTTAGTTGTAATCTTAGCTCTTTTGCCTTCTGGAATATTGTATTCCAAGCCCTCTGCTCCTTTAATCTGGTAGGTGCTAGATCTTATGTGATCCTGACAGTGGTTCCAAGGTATTTGAATGGTTGCTTTCTGGCTGTCTGAAATATTTTTTTCTTTCATCTGGGAGCTCTGAAATTTGACTAATATTCCTGAGAGTTTTCATTTTGGGATCTTTTTCAGGTGGTGATTGGTAGATTCTTTTAATTTCTATTTTACTGTCTGGTTCTAGGATATCAGGGCAGTTTTCCTTGATAATTTCTTGAAATATGTCTAGTCTCTCTTTGATCATGGATTTCAAGTAATCTAATAATTCATAAATTGTCTCTCCTTAATCCATTTTCCAGGTCAGTTGTTTTCCCAATGAGATATTTCACATTTTCTTCTATTTTTTCATTCTTTTGACTTTGTTTTATTGTTTCTTGAAGTGGCATGGAGTCATTAGCTTCCACTTGCCCAATTCTAATTTTTAAGGTACTATTTTTAGCTCTTCCAGGAATCTTGTTGAGCTTGTGTCCAGTTCACATTTCTTTGAGACTTTTCTTGTTTTGACTTCATTGTCTTCTTCTGAGTTTGTATCTTGATCTTCCCTGCCACCAGAGTAGCTTTTCATAGTCAGTTTCTTTTTTGTTGTTGTTGTTGTTTGCTCATTCTTCCATCCTACTTTAAGTTAATGTTTAGTTCTGTGTGTGTGTGTGTGTGTGTGTGTGGTGTCTGTCTCATGCTTCAGGTTTTTTTCACGTGACTGTTTTTAGTTCCAGTTCCTCAGGATCTCTGACCAAAAATGCTCCTCTCCACCCTTTAGCTATGACTCAGAAGTGGATATAGGCGATGAAGTTGCCAAACAGTGTCTGCTCCTATGTCTAGTACCAGCACAAGGGTACCCTGTAATCTCTTTCTGACCATTTGCCAGGTCCCCACACTGTCTTTGCCTTGAGAACTCCTGAAACTGGTGCTGCTTCTGCTGCCTCCATGTGGTCCCACCACTGGTGTTTCATTCACGTGGGCTCCAGGCCAGCCTTCTCTGCTAGGTTTCTTTCTGACGTCCTCTGTTGTCTTGGACTGGAAGGATGTCTCACTCTGACCTTTTGTTGGCTCTGCACTCCACATTTTGATTTGAGGCATTGTTTTAAGGTAGTTTGGAGGGGAATGTGGGAAAGTTCAGCTTTTTCTACTCTATCATTATAGCTCCTGTTTGGAGGAGTTGCAGGGTGGGGGAGAGGACAGAGCTAGATGTACTTCTTCCTACTACTTTGCCATCTGTTGATGGCAAATTGGCTTTAAAATCATCTTAGAACATTTCACTAGGGGCTTTCTTCCAAGCTGACACCAAATTACCATTCTGCCTGTATTTGACCATTGTCCTCTTCTCCCCCATTCCCCACTGCATCCATGGGACCTGCATGCCACTCCCAGACCAGCTCAGCAGCCACTGTAGCACGGTTTTCTGCCACTATGCCTTTCCCCTTCATGCTTCTCTTTCTGTTTTGCCTTTCCCTGTTATAAGATGTTCTGTAAGGACAGAGATTGCCTTTCTTTCTACTGCCAAGCACATTACCTGGCACATAATAATTGCTTAATAAAAGATCTGTCTGCCCATTTGTCTCCATCCGTGTCTATCTATCTTTTTTCATTCTGTGGATCCAGGCCTTCAAACAGTTCCACATTACTTGTATTTAATCTTGGAAGCTTCTCACATAAACTGCCAGACAATTCTTTCTCATTCTCATTAGTCCTTCCTCTCCAGAGACATATGCAGTCCTCTAGACTTATATAGTACTACTTTAAGCATGGTTCCTCCAAAAAGGAAAAAGCTTTTGGGATAACTAAAGAGCCAGAGATTTTACCTGGAGAGGAGAGTCCCATTTCCCCATGACACCTATATAGTCTTGAAATGAAATGAGAAAACTACTTCCTAGGGTTCCCCAGGAGTCACCCCCTGGATCCTGCCTCATCTTTCCTTCTTTTAGGACCTGACCAGTGCACATGTCTCACATGTCAGTTAAGGGGGAGGACCAGATGTGATCTTCACTGTGGTTGTGTCACTTGCTACTCTTCTCTCAGCTGCAGCAAAGTCCATTCCTAGCCCCTGCTTCTCTTTTATTCCCATGGTACAGAGTCAGTGTTTACTGCTAGGACTAGATAAAATTCTGTTCCTAAATGGAGGAGACTTGGTCCAGGAGGGCCCTTGATTGTTCCATCATTAACACTCCATTACTGCTCGCTCACTTGTCTAGCTGCTTTCATCAGCTGGCATCCCTAGGGCCATGTGGTTCACTTGTAAAAGTGCCTATTTCCCTTCCCAGGAATCTAGTCAGAGGCTGTGTGTCACTCTTTCGTCCTGTCTGTACTCTTGTATTTCTGTTCTACCTTTTAAAACCCAAATCCTTAGGTGAAATCCAGGCATAAGAATTAGCCATGAATCAATTCATCATTTTTTCAATTTAACTAGCTACTTAAATTGTTTTTATTTAAATTCTAAAATTTAACAAAAACATCTTTTCTTATCTTCCCATCTCTCTGCACCTCCTCCTTCCATTAATCCAGAACTTAAACACCCAAAAAAAGCCTACCAGTTCACACCTAAGAACACAAAGGAAGCTTCTATGTGAAATCATGAGTCTTCATTTACATTACTTGTTTTAAAATGTAACAAATTCTACCCATAACTTGTAAACTGCTCTGATTATATGTGCTTTCTTCTGTTCTATGCATTTAAAAACTTTTTTATCTTTTTCTGTCAGACCTGTGCTGATATGATAAGCTTACATTTCAAGCTTAAACACATCTCTGGGCCACTAGTGTACTAGGTATTTCCCTTCTAGTATCCAGGGCCAACAGGGACATTAGAATCAGAATCCCAGACTCAGATTGGAAGGGGCCTCAAGGGCTCTCTAGTTCTTTTTAAAATTAAATGGAGTGTGAGTGATCAGGAATGATTTTGTATAGAAAGTAATGTTTGAACTGAGTTTCAGGAGAAACAAAGGATTCTATGAGGCAGAGGTGAGGAGGGAGCGCAGTCTAGGTATAGGGGAACCACCCCACAATGGAGCAGAGACAGAACACTGTGATAGACAGCACAGCCACTCTGGCTGAACCATAGAGTGATGTATGAAGGAGAGAACAGGAGATGATGAGGTTGGAAAATGAGTCAGCTCATGAAAAGCTTTAAATGCCAAACAGGGGAGGGCCTGAGGGCCACTGGTGTTATCCAGAAGGGGATGTGGTCAGACCTGAGCTTTTGGACATTCCCTTTGTCAGTTGTGGGGAAGATGGATTAAGAGAGGAGAGAAAGTTTCAATAGGGACACCAGGTTTTACTCTCTTCCTCTTTAAATTAGCTCTGTTTACTTACCTTTTTACTTTTAAAAAAGTTGTTTTGCGAGTGAAAAAAATTATCACATGATAGGAAGTCATGGATGGGTTGAGATCTGCCCTGTTGGAAGGAAAAGCCACATTAATGAAACCACTACTTCATTTGAGCATTTATTTGTTTGTATTCTTGTATCCAGGATGTGCTAGAGCCAGCTTATACAGGGCTCTTGAGAGCTAAATGGTAGATTTTCAGTGTGAACATTTATACCACAGAAATTGGCAAATGGTACAAATCAGACCTTGATTTATTGGTTTGTTGATTGTTTAGACTTAAGAAAGCGATGGACAAAATGTCGACTAAACTTAAAAGTCTGTTCTGGCCCCATTTCTTTCAACCAGTAATATGTAAGCCCCTTTAGGGCAAAGATTGCTTTTCATTTCTGTCTTTGTATCCCTAGGGCATTGTGCATAGTAGATGCTTAATAAATATTTTTGAATTTAACTGGATTAAAATACCATCAACTTGAGAACTGAGTCCTCAATATTAGAGGCAAAATGTACTCAGAGCAGTATCTGGAGGTATCCATTACAGGGCTTGAGCAGTCATGTAATCATGTATGTGGTCATCCCATGTGTATATGGAGTTCTAGTGCTGATAAATCTTAGTGTTGTTCTATGTAATTATATTTTCATTTGTTTTTCTTCTTCCCCATAACCCAAAACTTTTTGCAGATCTTTTCACAGATGCCGATGAGACTGAAAAAATGGCTAAAAGTTTGCCAGATTCTGAAGGAGTTTGTTTTGTTCCATCTTTTAGTGGATTGCAGGTAAAAGAACAAAATTCAACCCGTGAACTTTGTCTATTCTCACCTCCCACCTTATCTCTAGATTCTCTTGACTTGGACAGGAGGACAATGTACAGCACACCATAGGGGAGTAGGGTCAGTTGAACTAATAGTGGAATTCTAAAGCTGAGAAGCCATACCTAGTCCTCAAGAAACTCTCTAGGATTAAACAGAAGTCCCTTCAGATGGGCCTTAGTGGTCTCATGTGCTGTCCTAATACTGAACAGACTTTTCAGAGTTAGGAAGGTTTTCATTGAAAGTATAACCAACTCAAACCCAAGAATTAGCAATGGACTGAAACAGAACTTTTTTTTAAACCTGTGAACTAGGACTAGTTTGCCAAAGCCATCCATTTCCTTACCTTTGGGAAAGTACGGTGTACCCTTGAAGGTCTTCCCAGTGCTCTAACCCAGTGGGGTCCTGCCCTCAAAACAAGCCTGAGGATCCCTGCAGTCAAGATTTATAAACTATATGTAGGAATCATTTCACTCCCCTCTGAAAGAGCATGTCTTTTTTAGAGTGAAGTGTATCAGCTGCTAAATTTCACCCAACTTAAGGGAAGAAGTGAAGAATTGTTATTTCATTAAATTTTCAAAAAAGGGGGGGTTAGATTTCATCCAGGAAATGTAAGAAATAATTAGCACCTTAAGTCTCACCCCCCCCTTTTTTTTGGTGAGGCAATTGGGTTTAAGTGACTTGCCCACTTAACCAATGGGCAGTTAAGCTAGTGAGTGTTACGTATCTGAGGCTGGATTTGAACTCAGGTCCTCCTGACTCCAGGGCCGATGCTCTATCCACTGCACCGCCTCGCTGCTCCGAGTCTCACCCTTTTTAAGAAAGATGCTATGAAATGTACAATGACTTCATTTCTGGGACTCTTGTCTTTGTCTTCTTTGACACACACTATCGTTGTAATAATCCTTGTTCCTTCACTCTTAGACAGGAAGTAACAAACTTCTCCTGAAGTCCCAATGCAGAAGACTATCCTGTAGCAGTATGCTTTATTTTTACACAAGAAATGATCCCACCCAATCCAGTTGTGTTTGAAAGCCGGCAAATAGTAATCAAGGTCTTGAGAGGCTAGCGTCCAAATAATGCATCCCAAGTACAAGTACCATACCAGTAAACCTTTTTAAATAAAGTTGTTTAGAAAAGCAATTTTGTTGCAACTCATACATAAATGAAAACTTATTTATTAAAGGAAAGCTATGTCTTACTAAGCGCATGATTTCTTATTCTTTAAAATAACCCAAATCAGTAGGATTTTTTTTTAAATGACTATCTTAAATAAGAAAAACTTGTTTCTGCTTTAAATTCTAGAACTATGATGATTATCTTAGGAGCATATTTGCTTTTTAATACTTTTATATATCATCATATATAGTAATCTTTATAGCTATCATTTATAGTTCTCTGACTTCTTTCCCTTGTATCTGTTTATTTGAACCCAATGAGAACTCTGTAAATTTGACAGGGCAAATGCACTGACCCTCATTTTAAGGAGCAGAAAACTGGCGTTCAACAGGGTTGTGTGACTTTAGGAGGTGGTATAATGAAGACAAGCACCAACATCTCCTGACTCTTCCTCCGCTTCCCAGGCCATGTAATCACCAGCCAAGTGAACCAAAGCTCACACATAGAGGGCTCTAGATTTCATCAGGCCACTCACACACATTCTTTCTTTCTTCTTCTTTTTTTTAAAATTATTCGTTCATTCGTTTATTTATTTATTTACTCATTTTGCATTTTCAGCATTCACTTTTATAAGATTTTGAGTTCTAAATTTTTCCCTTTCCCAAGATGGTGTGTAATCTGATATAGACTATACATGTACAATCATATTAAACACATTTCCACATTAGTCATGTTGTAAAGAAGAATCAGAACCAAAGGGGAAAATCACAAGAAGAAAAAACAACAGAAAAAGAGAGAAAATAGTATGCTTCAATCTGCATTCAGACTCCAGAGTTCTTTCTCTGGATGTGGATAGCATTTTCCATCTTTAGGCTTGGAATTCTCTTAGATCATTGCATTGCTGAGAAAAGCTAAGGCTTATCAAAGTTGGTCATCAAACAATGTGGCTGTTACTGTGTACAGTGTTCTGGTTCTGCTCACTTCATTCCATATCAGTTCATGTAAGTCTTTCCAGGTTTTTCTGAAATCCACTTGCTCATCATTTCTTATGGAACAATAGTATTCCATTACATTCATATACCACAACTTGTTTAGCCATTCCCCAATTGATGGGCATCCCCTCAATTTCCAATTCTTTGCTACAACAGACAGAGCTACTATAAATATTTTTATACATGTGGGTCTTTTTCCCATTTTTGTGATCTCTTTGGGATACAGCCCTAGAAGGGCTGTTGCTGGGTCAAAGGGTATGTACAGTTTTATAGCCCTTTGGGCATAGTTCCAAATTGCTCACCAAAATGATTAGATCATTTCACAACTCTACCAACAATGCATTAGTGTTACAGTTTTCCCACATGTTCTCTAACATTTATCATTTTCCTGTTTTGTCATGTTGGCCAATCTGATAGGTGTGATGTGGTACCTCAGAGTTGTTTTGATTTGCATTTTTCTAATCGATAGTGATTTAGAGCATTTTTTCATATGACTGTAGATAGCTTTAATTTCTTCATCTGAAAACTGCCTGTTCGTATCCTTTGACCATTTATCAATTGGGGAATGATTGTATTCTTATAAATTTGACTCAGTTCTCTATATATTTTAGAAATGAGGCCTTTATTAGACACACTGGGTGTAAAAATTGTTTTTCGGCTTTCTGCTTCCCTTCTAACCTTGGTTGCATTGGCTTTGATTGGGCAAAAACTTTTTTTTAAATGAGGCAATTGGGGTTAAGTGACTTGCTCGGGGTCACACAGCTAGTAAGTATCAAGTGTCTGGTCTAAGACCATATTTGAACTCGGGTCCTCCTGACTCCAGGGCTGGTGCTCTATCCATTGCACCATCTTCTAGCTGCCCTTGCAAAAACTTTTTAATTCACACACATTCTTTCATTGGAGCCTGACAACAACCTGAGAAGGGAGGTTCTGTGGCTATTACTCTCTTCATCTTACCGAGGAGTTAACTGAGGCTCAGAGAAGCTGTGCCTCGCCTGTGCTCACCCAGCTCCTAAGTATCTGAGACCAGATTTAAACCTGTACCTTCTTGACTTCAAGTCTTACACTCAGCCTGCCTCATTTGGAACCTGTGTTCCAAATTTGCCAAATTGAGAAAGATTACCCTAAGATCATGAGAAGTAATTATTACTGTGCATCTTTTTAAAAAATTAAGCATCCAGATCAGCTGTGAATGACTTAACTATTCTCAGCAATGCAGCGATCCAAAACAGCTCTGAAGGACTTATGAAAAATGCTGTCCATCCCCAGAGAAAGAACTGATGATGTCTGAATATAGATTGAAACATACCTTTTTTACCTTCTTTATTTTTCTTGAGTTTTTTTGTCTGTGTTTTCTTTCACAACATGGCTATTATGGACATGTTTTGCATGACCACGTGTGTAGCCTGTGTCGAGTTGCCTTCTCAATGGGGGGGGAGGGGAGGGGAGGGGAGGGCGGAAGGGAGAGAATTTGGAACTCAAAACGAATGCTAAAAATTGTTTTTACATGTACCTGGGGAAAATAAAATACTAAATATTATTAAAAAATTGAGCATCCATCTATGTTAGCCATGATTTTTCACACTCAAGAGAAACATGAAACCAAGAATTTACCTCTTAGAAATTTTTACACATTTTAATATCTTCCTTTTTCTAAATGGGCTAGTAAATTATTCCAGAGAAGTAAATTACTCATAGCTTCTGGGTATAGAATCATTTTAGGCCGTTAGAGTCCTATATATAATTCACTAGAAGAGAGAATTTAACTAACTTACCAGGAAAATATTGGAGGGAGTTTTTTCCCCTAAAGGAAACTAGTTCTTTTATATGGGTAGGATTTATTCCATCTCGTGTTTTGCAGTATTATTTTACCTAATGACATTCAGTGTGGTGAATTGATTAGGGAGCAGGCCTCTGTCACATGTCGACTGTGTGACCTTGGACAGATCACTCAAGTTTTTAGTGTCCCATATCATAATTCAAATTGTCTGTAATTTTTTTCTTCTCAAAGTAGCGTCTTTGTCATGTATAGTTTTCTCTTTACTATTTGAAATCTTTCCTAAATGTTTAAATATATAAAGTAATACTATGTGCTTTTTTCCCTTGTAGGTTCCATTAAATGACCCCTGTGCATGTGCCTCTTTCATGGGTCTAAAGTCTTCCACTAATAAGTATCACCTTGTACGAGCCATACTGGAGTCAATAGCTTTCAGGTATTAAATAAACTCCTATTTAGCTCACACTTTGCATTTTGAAGAATCTCTGTAATTCTCAACTAGAAATCAAACAATATTATTACCTGAGTACTTTTACTTTGAAAAAAGCAGCCTGGTATAGTGGGTAAGGGGCTGGCCTCAGAGTCTGGAGATCCTGGGTTCAAGGCTTGCTTTGGATACATTCTGGCTATGTGACCCAAAGAACTCTCTAAGCCTGTGTGTTGTAGAGAAGGTGCTGAACTGCTCCCTGTACTAATGTTCTAAAAAGCAAACAAACACTTCTTCCTTATGTTTATTCTGTGATTTCAGTTAAAGGGTTCTGTTAACATTTATAATATCTTGTCCTGTGTTTGTTCTTATTTTCAGTTATTAATAGATAGCATTAATATGAATGAAATCATAACTTAGAGCATTTGCAGAAAAGGTGCTGATCTGCATTGGTAGAAGGAGTTGTCTCACCAGGGATTTCCCTAAAATCAATGAAACCATAGGTCTAGTTTCTGTCTTTATGACTGTCATCAAATGAAGGTTTAAAAATTAATAGGGACCACTAAGCCACACATAAGGATCCCAGTGGCCATATATTGTCTTAGAAAACTACATATTAACATTATTGATGTTCTATTGTATTTTTATCTATTTTGTTAAATATTTCCAAATGTATGGTATAGTGGCCCTGTTTTTATTTGAGTTTGACACCACTTCTCTAGGCAACTCTCTAAGACTAAGTTGCAGAAAAGGTGCCAACCTGCATTGATAGAAGGAGTTTTCTTACCTGGAAGTTCCCTATATCACAGGTCCCATCCCTATCCCTGTCCTATGACAGAGTATCATCTGTGAAAGAGTATCATCTGCATATAACTTATGTGCATTTTTTTTTTCATTTTGAAGGAACTACATATAATCATGATTTGCACTTTGTCTAAAGATATTTTCTTTTTAAATAGAAATAAACAATTGTATGAGATGATGCAAAAGGAGATTGACATTCCTGTTACCACAATTAGGTATGTAGACTTTACTTCCAACATGATAGAATCTTTCTTTTTTTTTAAATTTTTTATTAATTTATTTTTAGTTTTCAACATTCACTTCTATAAGCTTTTGAGTTTTAAATTTCTCTCCCCCTTTCTTCTCACCTCCCTCCCCAAGAGAGCGCACAGTCTGATATAGGCTCTACGTATACATTCCTATTAAACATATTTTCACATTAGTGATGTAAGGAAGAATTAGAACCATATAGGAGGAACTACAAGAAAAAGGCAACAAAACAAAACAGAAGGGAAAAAAAGAACAAATGGTATGTTTCGATCTGCATTCAAACTCCATAGTTCTTTCTCTGAATGTGGACAGCATTTTCCATCATGAGACTTTTGGAGATGTCTTATATCCTTGCATTGCTGAGAAGGGATAAGTCTATCAAAGTTAGTCATTGCACAGCGTGGCTGTTGCTATGTATAACATTCTCCTGGTTCTGCTCACTTCACTTAGCATCAAACCATATAAGTCTTTTCAGGTTTTTCAGAAGTCTGCTTGCTAATTGCTCATCATTGCTTATAGCACAATAGTATTCCATTACATTCATCTACCATAACTTGTCCAGCCATTCCCCAATTGATGGGCATCCCCGCAATTTCCAATTCTTTGCCACCACAGAAAGAACTGCTATAAATATTTTTGTACATGTGGATCCTTTCCCCATTTTTATGATCTCTTTGGGATACAGCCCTAGAAGTGCTATTGCTGGGTCAGAGGGTATGCACAGTTTTATAGCCCTTTGGGCATAGTTCCACATTGCTCTCCAAAATGGTTGGATCATTTCACAACTCCACCAACAATGCATTAGTGTTCTAATTTTCCCACATCTCCAACATTTATCATTTTCCTGTTTTGTCATGTTGGCCAATCTGATGGGTATGATATGGTACCTCAGAGTTGTTTTGATTTGCATTTCTCTAATCAATAATGATTTAGAGCATCTTTTTCATATAACTATAGATGGCTTCTATTTCTTCATCTGAGAACTGCCTGTTCATATCCTTTGACCATTTATCAATTGGGTAATGACTTGTATTCTTATAAATTTGACTCAGTTCTCTATATATTTTAGAAATGAGATCCTTATCAGAGATACTGGTTGTAAAAATTCTTTCCCAGTTTTCTGCTTCCCTTCTAATCTTGGTTGCATTGTCTTTGTGCAAAAACTTTTCAATTTGATATAATCAAAATTATCCATTTTGCATTTTATAATGTTCTCTATCCTGTTCAGTCATAAATTCTTCTGTTCTCAAATCTTTCTTAACTAAGACTATAAAACCAAAACGAATAAGAATTCGTCTTAAATTATCCACTCTAACAAATTTCAACATCTGAAGTTCTTTTTGACCTAATTCCTCAAAAAGCAAACCTTCCTTAAATCTTGTTCCTTAGGATTAATGGAAAAATAGTTGCCATCATTTTCTAGAGACGACTTTTTAGCGTGAGCTAGAGGAAGTGCTGATAGGTTTCAGAAGGCCTAAACCTAACTTCTCTTGCCCCCAAATCTAGACAGTAGGCATTAGGATCCTAGAGGAAAGCACAGCCTTAGATGTCTTCTGAATGGGATGTATATTAAGGATCTTGGCATGATTAAAGGCTTTGTTTGCCTCTCTCTTGAATGACAGCATCAGTTCTTAAAGCCTTTTGTCAGAATGTCCCTATGGACCGTAGTTAGATTTGAAACCAGGGGATTTCATATCTGAATTCTGAACTAGTAAAAAAAATTCCTTGTTTCCTCCACACCATCTGTCTATTTGAGCTGGTTATTGCAGCTTCTTCAGTAGCCAGCTGTAAATGGGATAGCTGGGGGAAGATGGTACAGGGGACTTGTTCAGTAGATCAGAAGTAGAGTCTTGATCTTTAGAGCTGGATGCCTAGTGCAGGGCTGTCATTTTTCAGATAAAGAAAAGACCAAGTGAAGTGACTTATCCATGATCTCCCAGATGTTAGTAATCTCTTTTTACCAAAGCTATACTTCCAAAGCCAAGTGTAACAAAATTTTCTTTCAATTTCTTTAATTTCTTCAACTTCCTCTGCTAATAGAGATTTAGGTCCTCTCCCATATCTTAGTTGAGTGACTGGAAAAATTGCTTCAATTGATGCCAACTTCTCCCTCCCTCTATACCTTCCACTCTCACCCCATCCCTTCCAGCTCCATAGGAGCCACAGACCTCAAGAGACCAGGGCCCTTTCCAGCTCCAGTGAGGAAGACCTCTAGTGAGGAATGGTCTAGATCAAGGTGGGGAACCTGTGGCCCTCTAGGACCTCTAGGATCCCCTTAATAAAAGGATTTGTTTTGTAGAACTTGGACTCAGTCAAAAGGCCGCACCCAAGGACCTAGAAGGCCACATGTGACCTCAGGACACAGGTTCCCCACCCCTGGGTTAGATGATCTTAATAAACTCAAGACTACAGGAATTCCTTTGTGGTATAACTTTGATTTAAAGGAACATTAAGTGATGTGTTTATTACTGATATTTTACCTTGTACATCTTTCTTCCCATAGGGCAGATGGAGGGGTCTGCAAGAATAGTTTTATTATGCAAATGACTTCTGACCTGATTAATGAGAAGATAGACAGACCTGCCCAGATAGATATGTCTTGTTTAGGAGCTGCTTCTCTGGCTGGTCTTGCTGTTGGTATGTATGATTAAAATATTTCCTGGATGCAGTATTTCTCGTCATAAAGCACAGACTTGGAAGGCTGTATGGGTTTACATTTTACTCCTGCTCACCCATTACTTATGTCAAGTCACTGCTTGTGGTATGCCCTTCTCTCCCATCTTCAGGACAAGCATAAATAGATACATGTACACACACATATGGTATATGTGTGTGTATATATATATATATATATACACACATACATATATATTTGCCTAGATATACATATATGTATGTATGTATGTATGTATCTATCTATCTATCTCTATATACAAATTTATATTTCTAGAGTTATCTAGATATCCTTATCCTCTGTCCTTGACCTCTTAGGTTTATATGCCCAGTAGTGGTATTGTTGAGTCAAAGGATATTCACAATTTTAGAGACTTTTGAGGTAGAAGTAAGTGCTTTCCAGAACCACTGGACCAGTTCACAGCACCACCAGTCATGCTTTGATGTGCTTGTCCTCTCATTGTCCCTCCAGTAATGTCACGACTTACCAAGTCTGTCTCCTAAAACTTAGAGGGCTTGTGAGGGATGTTGTCGGAGGCGGTGCCCACTCTGAAGTCAATATGGAAGTAAATGTTCCACCTCCAAAATCAGTCTCTTGAATTGTAAAAAAAAATTGTCCAGGAGGTACCTTCTCGCCTATTTCTAGTCTTTGTGTTCAATCTTATGGCTCTAGGCAGGATTTACTATCAGATTTGAGAATTTTTTTTTCTTATTTCTAGGGTTTTGGACAAACAAAGAGGAATTAAAGAAACTGAGGGAAAGTGGAAGAGTTTTTGAGCCACAGAGGAAATGGAAAGAATATGAACCCAGTATGGAAAATTGGGTCAAGGCTGTAAAGCGTTCCATGAACTGGTATAGCAAGATATAACAGAAAGGAGAAGCAAAACACTCTACTGCTTTTTTGGGGGGAAACCTTTTTTACCATAATTTTTATCCAAACCTTAAACTTGCTAAGACAACAGTACCTCATGAACACACCTTTCTTGGTCCTATGTTTCATAGTAGCCTTCCAGGAAGAGTGTGTTCACCATTTCCATTGTGCTTTGGCTGCTCCAAAATTCTTCTGTCTTACCTTGGGTCTTCATCTTTAAAAAAAAAAATGTATAGATATAGATATAGATATCTATATCTATATCTATTTATATTGTAGATCAGTGCTATAACTGAACATTGTGATTTGTTACCAACAATTTTTGGTGAATGCTATTCAGTTTCATTCAAAAATTATGTAATTTTTTCCCTTGAATTCATTAGATTTATTTACAATCCATGTACTAAATAAAAAGATGACTGTGCCAAAATATTGTAGTAGTGCTGAAGCAGCATTAAGATTTTTTTAATTTAAAGCTAAATTGTTCAGTGCTGTGACCAGATGTGAGCTGTTTGTCAATGTTTGGTTTTTAGACTAGGTCTCTTTATTGATTAGTGCATCGTCTTTATCTAACTGCCTTAATTTCTGCTTTCCTATGATGTAGGAGTATTGTTTCTTTGCAGATTTGCTAACAAACTTTTCATAATTGGTCATTTGGTGTTTGAAAAAATACTGGTTTTTTGAGTGATAAAAATGATAGGGGTTTGCTAAGGAACAAAAATTTCTTTCTCTCCTTCCATCATGTTACTTGCTTACGTAAACTTACCTGATTTGCAGGTAAGTAGGGAAACAATATTCTCACAACTTCTGGTTGTCATCACAGAATTGATCACAATCTCATTTTTGAGAACATACAGCTTACTGTTACTGTTTTCTGCCTCTTGCTCATGATCTTGCCAAGTATTTTGCTGTCTTACATTAGTATCCTGACACATTTTGTTTTAAACATCTCTGGGCTGTTGGTGTTTAATGTGGAAAAACCAAAACGGTTCTTAGTAGGATCAAGATGATGACACCTCTACTTTATGAGCACATTTTTGACTTGTTCTTGTAGTTAAGTCAGATGTCTCAAACTTCCTTTCTGGCATTTCCTCCTTGCACGTGTGCCTTCTGATAACCTACCTCTGTGGCCCAGAGGATGGCGAGAGTGAACCCACTGAGTGGCAGGTGCCTGCCTGTGGATACCCTTCTCAGCCCCATCTTCTTCTACAAGGAGAGCAGAGAAAGCCTATTTTGTTCTTTGATCTTCTGCTTGGTGAAGATTTTAGAGAGAAGAGGGTAGAGGTAGAGCCTCAGCTGCCCCACTCCCAATCCTTTGATCACCATTTTAGTTTTCACAGCATAGAATAATGAGTTATGTGCCTGTGGCTGACCTTTGACCCTCGTCATCATCACCACCACCCTCATTTCCCCTTTGCCGGGACTTGCCCATTTAATAGGGGCTTTTGCTTTTTTGTTTTGCTAGTTGTGAGGTTATTTCTTCTTTCAAACCATAGTGCTTTGATTTAAAGGGGAAACTGTCAAGTAATAATGTAATTTAAGGAAGGTAATCAAGGTATCAAGGTATTTTAGTTTTGTATCTCCTCCAAAAATGGACAACTCATGTCTTTGGAGAATACTTTATAAGAACAAAAAAGTAAAACATGTTGATTATTCCTACTCCCCAATTGCCATTACGTTGAGCTCCAACAGCAGTTGCAGATTTGGTCTTGTTAGAGTCTTGTAGTCTCAAACACTTTAGCCATTTACTGAGGCTTTAAAGTCTTGTTATGTAGAAATTTTTCAGTGTAATAGTCTCCCTGACTACTCTAGTCCTTCCTTTCTTCTCGTTTCTGGTAGTCTTACACCGAAGCAGCCTGAAGATAACTTTCTGTGCGATCTGAACTGGGTGTGGCCAGATGGGACTAAGTCATTCTCAGAGACTTCACATTTAGTGGGTGTGCTTTAGTCAGTAATACTTTTGTCTTTGCACTCCAAATCCTGAACTGCAATGTCACTAATGCCTAAAATTTTAATTTTACTTCAATCTTGTCTATTAATTTCTCTCTGTCTGTCTGTCTGTGTCTCTCTCCTACTGCATTACCACAAATTAAAGGATAAACATTGTTATGTATAACTGAATTTCATGGGAATTGGGGACCTGCCCAAGTAATAGTGGCTTATATTTTTTCCTATCAAGGCTAGAAACAAGTCTTATTTTTGTTCTTTTGGCCCTTGAAATGGCAGTTTGCCAGACAGGTGGTCAGATTTTGCTGAAATCAGAAAAGTTATCACATTTGTTCTTGAAGGTTATAGTAGAAAAATTTTGAATCATTTCGTTGAATCAGGTGCCCTCTTTTCTCATAGATTGAGCCCTCTTTCTTATACACCATTATTGCTTGGGAAATTGTTAATAAGAAAGGTCCTAGTCATTCAAGGAAAACAGGCCTACTTTTAATGTAAGGAAGAGAACCTTGTGTTAGAACTTTATCAATCAGCTTTTGTTCCTTTTCTTTTGTATAGAAAAGCCACAGTTTTGATGCAGTTCTGGGATATGCTTGGCAGTGTTAGGACAGGATGGAAATGTGTTATCTGATTCCTTGCTTTTCTAGGATTTGTGTTTTTGAAACTTGTCTCATCTACACTCATTTACTAGAGATTTAAAGATGCCTTCCTGTCTCTAGGCAAAGACCAATTTTGCTAAATCCTTTCTATTTGTCCTTCATACAACGCCCCTTTTGTAATCTCCTCGAGGGCAGGGATTATGTTCTTTTCCTCTCTGTATCACCCACAGTGCCTTGCACATAGTAGGTGCTTAGCTAATGGAGTGAAATTTCATATGTTTCCCTTTCTCTTTTTGTACATGAAACTGCTAGTAGATAGCAAGTGATGTTTATTACAGTAAATACATTGGATTGAGAGAGACAATTGTAAAATAGTTTTATAAGCATAAGCACCTGGAATCCCCATTTTTTAATTGTTAAGGCCCTGTCTGAAAATCTCACTTTTTATGAGGGAAAGTGGCTTATTCAAAGTTTTATCTTTTTAAATAACAAAATCCTTCATGTTAGTATGTATCTGCAGGCATACATTTAGATAGTTTTAGAGGATATTTCTAAGGAAAGACAACAGTTTTTCCACAAATTTTATATTTATTATGGATGAATACTAAATGAAGGGATCCTCGGAATGTCAAACATAATTGTGCTTCAGGAAAGGAGCTCTAAGAAAAGGTTCCCTACATGCCCCAATATCAACCTTATTTAATTAAAAGTAACAAGTGGTAAGGATCCCCTCCCCCCATAGCCTAGCAAGAAATTCAATATTCTTGATATTGTGAGAGGAAAAAGAAGGTACCTAAAGGTCTTTAGACCTTACAATGATTTTTAAAACATCTCAGACTGTGTAGAGGAGACCTGGGTCTACTCTGGGTCCAAATTCACTCACCAGTCAGGAACAACAGTGGATTCTGAGCGCCTTTGGGAATTTTCATTGATGTCCTCAAAGAGAATGAAAAACCCCAGGATCCATTCCTGAACCTTTAGTACCAACTTGAGCCCAGAATGAACCCCAAGAACAGCCCCAAGCATGTACCTCCCCAGTCACATCTACATCCCATGGGGATATAGAGGAGGTCTCCAGAATTGCCCTCATTTTGAGGGGTGCAGGCAGCACATGAGCATAGCCCATTGTCGTGAGCAAGTGTGGCAGAAGTGTTTTTGGAAGCAGGGAAAGAACCACAATGCAAAGAGCAGAAACCTCCGATTTCCCCATGCCATGCCATTTCCCTCCTTAATTACACAGTTGGTGTGCTGAGTCTAGCAGCTCTGTGTACCCTGTGACTTTGGGGAGAGAAATGACAAGTACCTCATAGCCGTACCTTTTAATTTTTACCTTTTCCATTTAATGACTCTGACGAGGAGTTTGAAATAATGTCAATGATCAGGATATCATTAGGTAACTTGCAGGAGGGTACTGACGTCTTCAGCATGACTGTAGCATACAAGGGAGAGGCGGAAAGGGGCCTCTAGAAAGGGACTGTTCTGTATTCATTAGTGTCATGTTGATCTGTGATTAGCCATATGACGATATCATTGTTTAAAAATGAGTTAAGTACTACATAGTTTTTTATACAGCTGTCTTAATATTTCTAAAAGCTCTTATTTTGAAATAATATGACTTTCTTTGATTCAAAGTGATTTAGTAGGAAATTTACTTGAAAATTTCATATTTATGCAAGGTGGTATAATATAGATTTCAGTTGGGATATATGAACCTGTTCTATATCACTCTATTATTCTTCTTTCAAAAGTTTAGCAGCTTCATTAATACTAAATTGTAATTAAGATCATCATAAATATCTGTACATTAACATCTGTACATTAAATCTAGGAGGTTTAGGTGTTTTGGTGGAAATTTTTTCTTAGATTTCCTGTTCTCCTAAGGGCTAGCTTAGGGGTAAGAAAGACAAGTAAACATTTTATATTCCAGAAAAATTCTTTCCCTTTGGCTCATAGTATTTATTTTGTGATAAGCTTATTATAATTGTTAGAGTTAAGGCTAAAACGCTCTGGAGAAGACGTGCCCAGGCAAATAGACGTCTTGTCCAGGTCCTGCCCCTATCCACCCTCTCTCTAGGTTCATTCATTTTTTGAGATCCTTCCTAAACTATGAAACTTCAGCTTGGCTTTTTACACATCAAGCTACTCCCAGTTATCCATGACCTTAAAAGGAGAACTGTGAAAATGACTAAATGGGCTGAGATGTTTGATGGAAAACTTAGCAAAAACTCTATTATTAACTGAGCCTAGAAAAGAATAACCCTGCCAAGCGGCAAAGTTACAGGCTAGCTGCTGGATGATCACTTTTGGACCTGTTCAGCTTTAATCTATATTCTACATCCTTGCGTAACAGAACTTGTGAAAAAATATGAATATAACTTGTGGGAAAATGAGTGTACTGTATTTTTTAATATTTAGAAAAACATAACTGGATGACATTTTGAGAAATAATAATGACAGTACCAGCTTAGTTTTTTAAAATCATCATCTCTAAAAATTGTACTTATGTAAAAAAAATAAAAATTATTAAGAATTTGCAGTGGTGAAGGGTTAGTCTGTTTGCTAATGTATGACAAGAGCTCTTTCTTGGTGGTTTGGGGGGAGAAGTCTTACTGGCATGGAGGGGAGGAGCCTGGGAATAGGGTCTTGAACCTGATGATCAGGGTTCTAGCCCCACACTTTTTCTATCTGAGACATGAAGGTGCAAGAATGAGAAGCAGACAAGATGGCTTGACCGTCAAGTCAGTGTACTGCAGGGCTAGGTCCTTCCTGGGCTCGGATGTCTTTGATGGGTCTCCAGTTCTCGCTCACCACTTGTCTTTTCCAATCTTGGGATAAGAATAAGTGCAGAAACAGGCTCCCTGCATTCACACACACGTGGTGGGCAGATAGGGGAGTAACGCCCCACCCCCAGTTCTTGCCTTGCTCACTACCATAGAAGAGGGCAAATCTATACTTGGATCATTTTGTGTGCACACAGCGCCCGGTCAGCCTCTACTGAGTCACGTTAGTTTTTGGAGCTCCTTAGCCAGCCAGAAAACTTTTCATCGTTACACCATCCATCACTCATGGCCAGAAATTGACTCCCCAAAGGTCCACATGTTGAATTGTCAGCGAGAAAACATACATGTTCTGTATAATCCACAAAGGAGAGCAAGTCTGAACATGCTCTAAGAACTGAGCCCCAGTACATTCTTTCTCCCCCACCCCACCTCTATTAAAAATTTGATCTCAGCAACTCTGCTGAGCTGTGTTTTGGATTCATTGTCCAAGTCCCCGTTCTATTGATTTCAGCCCCAGGAAGATCTAAGTATTGTCTGTGCTTTGACTTGCTTCCCTAGTACCACACTGGAAAGGTCTCAAAACACTCACTATGGCATAGATCTTATAAAAAAACCTACACCTGCAGGAAGAAATTGCTCCCAAATATGTCCCCGTCATAGTCTAGGGAAATTTTCTCTGGGTTCTTCCTATACCAAAAGGCACACAAAATTTCCTCAGTGGATTCCTGCCACCGCAAAGACAATTCCAATTCCAAATTCACTTAGTAATAGTACAGTTGGGCACAGTTCAGAATGAAAGGAAATAGAGTCAGGTAATCCCTGAATATGTGGTGGACTCTGAAATGAGATTAAGCATTTGGGGTTGATTCCTTGGGATTTCAAGGCCAGGAGGCAAACTATCTTATGAACCTACAGTATATAAAGATCTTACAGTAAGGCAAACAGTCTAGTTCTTTTTAGAAGAAAAAATAAGCATTATGAGCTGGGCACCATATTTAGGAATGCAAAATCCATACTTCTCAGCTGCAATTTTCATACTGCGTGCAGTAATAAGACAGTTGCTGGTTCAGAAACATAAACAAGCAAAAATTATTACAAAGAAATTAACCGGATCTGATTTGGAAGGAGACAAAACAGAAAATAGACTAATTGCAGTCTAAAAATGCCAGTAGATCCTAAAACCTGGGTCACCGAATAAGGGAAGTGCCAAGTGGAATATCTTTTTGATGGGTCCTCCCAAATGCAAAGGACCGGGTGGAGCACAGGAGTTAGCTAAGCTGAGGCCACGGAGGCTGGTCACATTTGCTTGTCCTCAAGGTTTGAGGACATTGCTCTGAGGTGTTGTGTCTCCTCAATAGGGGAAATGCTGTCCTAGACCCCCGATTCCACCCCTACCTCAGTTTCCTGAGGAACTAGAGAAGTGAAAAAGGTACCCAAAGGACAAACATATATCAAGGATGCAATGCATAATTTTATTCCTACACAGCAAGAGGAATGATGGGCAATAAAGAGTCATAGAATGATTACAATGGATCCAACATTTCAGCCCCTTTGGAACATTTGCAAGTGCTTTCTTTGCAAGGGCTGCTATTTAACTATGTTTTGTGTTTCTCTACTTTCTATAGCCCAATCAATGCCAAGCGGGTTCTTTCTTTCCAGTCTTCCCTGTCTGTGGACAACTCTTTCCCTATTGGCTGGTCTAATCAGTCAGTGAGTCAATAAACATTTGTTAAACAGCAGCTATTATGTGCCAGGCACAGTGCTAAGTGCTGGGGATACCAAAAAAAGATAAAAGTCAGTCCCTGCCCTTGAGATCAAAATCTAACAGGAAAAACCAAGCAACTACATACAAACAAGCTATGTGTAGTGTAGCAAGGGCTATCCCTTACAAATAGCAAGGGGGTGTCATAGTGTGGCTTTAAGGGAGGCAGAATGGATATCTCTAGCCTCTTCTTTCACAATCCTTCTCCAAGGGAAACGATTTCCCACCAGAAAAGGAAGCAGGAGATTGAGGTCAGAAGCTTAACCATTCTGCTCTCCTCAGAGAGAGGAGGTTCAAGACTTGAATTATATCTATATGCTCCCTTAAAATTATTAATCTAGAGGATGTGGTTTTCACGTTCAAGCAAAATTTCTGATCGCTATTTATTTAATGGGGAAAGGAGGACTCCAAGCTTTATATTCAAGCCTTGATTTCCTTCCCACCACATACCAGTTCCACAATGAGCACACATAGCAATTTACAAGAAAGCCCTTGATTTGAGTTGATAGCAAAAGCAGAAATCAAAATATACCTCAGAGAATACATATCAGATAATACAGAGTGGAGGAGCTCGCCTCATTGGGAGCAAGGTAAATTCGGCTCAACTTTCTCTCCCTCTCTAAGGGACGGGGAGGGGGAGAGAGAGAGAGAGACAGAGAAACAGAGAGAAAAGAAGAAGAAGAAGAAGAAGATGATGATGACAGCTTGAGAGCTAGGAGAGAGAAGGGGAGAAGAGGGAGAGGAAAAGGGAGAGAGAGAGGGAGAAAGAGAGACAAAGAGAGAGTGCCTGAGATCTTGCCCAAGGGGAAGTTCCCTGAGGTCTCTGGTGTTGCAAGCTGGGCATAGGGACATGGTGTAGACTTGCCAGTTTCTTCCCAGAGTCTCTTCCTTTAGCAACCTGAAGTGGAGATTGGCATCATCCATCTTCTCCCTTGAAGTTGGAAGCCAGAAAGGGACACTTGACCCAGAAGAACCTGAAGAAACCTGAAAAGACTCAGTGTCTGGAACTATTTCCTGTTCTTACCAACTCCACCTTGCCTCTCATGCAGGCCAAGGCATTGATCTCCACCAAGGAGGGGATCATCCCATACCAATGGGCTTTGGGATTTTGGTTATATAGAATAAATTGAAAAAAATCAACAGAACATTTCACTAAAATTAAGAGGGATTAGGAAAATTCTGTAGAAGGTAGGATTTTAGTTGAGATTTGAAGGAAGCCAGGAGGTGGAAATGAGGTGAGCTGGGTATTCCAGGAATGAAGAGACAACCAGTGAAAATACCCAGAACCAAGAAATGATGTGTCCTATTCGAGGAACATCAAAGAGGGTAGGGTAGGGTAGGGTATAAAGCATAAGAAGACTGGAAAGGTAGGAGGAGGGTTCCAAGTTACGAAGGGCTTTGAAGCCAAACATAGGATTTCATATTTGATCCTGAATGTGATAGGGAGCTATTGGAGTTTATTGAGTAGAGAGGTGACATAGTTAGGACCTGTGATTTAGGATTATCATTTTGACAGCTGAGTTGAGGATGTGTTTGGAGGAGGGACTTGAGTGGTTGTTGGAAGATAGGCACATTAGTGCATTTTGGGCACTGTGAATTAGTATGACCATTTTAGAAATCAGTTTGCAATTATGCAAATAAAGTGACTAATATTTTCATAGCCTTTGACTCAGAGTCCACTACTAGGCTTATATCCCAAGGAGACCACTGATAATAAGAAAGTTTCATATGTACCAGAATATTTGTAGCAGCACTCTTTGTGATAACAAGGAATTTGAAACAAAGTAAACTCCCATTGATTGGGGAATTGCTAAACAAAGTATGTATGAAAAAAATAAAAAAAAACAACAAATGATGCATGAATGTAATAGAATATTACTGAAATGTGAAAAATTGTGAATATGATAAATGCAGAGAAGCATGGAAAGAACTATATGAACTGATGCAGGGTGAAGTAAGCAGGACCAAAAAAAAATACACCTAATGACTACAACAATGTCAATGAAAAGAACTACAAAGAATCCAAAAGTGAATGTTGCAAAATTATATAGAACAAATATGGCATGAAAGAGGAGATATAAGAATAAACTTTCACCTTATCTCTTTATAGAGGTGGGAGGTCCACCAGTGTTGTACAATGCACATATATTCTCAGATGTTTTCAATGTATTGACCAATTATGTCGATTTTTTCCTCTTCTTTTTATGTCTTTAAAAAATACTGTTTGTTATGTGGGATAGCTCTCTGGGCAGGAAAGGGAGAGGGATACTGGAAGAAATTTTGGGGATGCAAACCCCACTCCCAAATATATCAATAAAAACTTATTTAAAATAAATGTTTGCTGACCCACTCAACAAATATTTAATTAGCATCTTTTATGCACACAACAGTGTGCTTATATTATATCAAAGGTAACTTTAGTAAAAACAACAACCAATACTAACTAATGGTCCTACAATGCTGGATTAATATGCTTAAAACATGATTTCCTACAGTAAATAATCTAGTAGAATTAGTGCTTCCTCTTGACTGAATCCCCATAAAAGCAGAAGTAGCCATGCAGTATTGTCACTGAGTGAGGATATAGCTAGGTGGCTCAGTGGCTAAAGTATGGGACCTGAAATCAGGAAGACACTAGTCCAACCTTGCCCTCAGACAATTACAAACTATGTAACCCTGGGCAAGTCACTTAACTTCTGCCTTATTCCACGGGGGAAGGAAATGCAAACCATTCTAGGATCTTTGCCAACAGTAAGAGTCCACGAGGTCATGAAGATTCAGACATGACCAAACAACAACCACAACAATTCATTGAGTAACATTGCAGTCTTGTCATTCAGTAACATTCTAAAATGTGTCAACAAATATCTGTGTGCTTAATGCTTGCCTTGGCAATGTATTAGGTACTGTAGGGTCACATCATGAAGCACATGCTTTCTTATAAAAATTATGGATT